TCTCTATTGTCACCCTTCCCTGATGTGATTCGTTTATTATTTTGTGAACAATCTTATATCATTCGATAGAGAAATGTTGGCTCTATCTCGGAAAGAAACAATGACTTTTCTACGATATATGTAACTCGAGTTATAAAAGAAATACAAAAGATATCTTTTTTACCGGCAGAATTAGATCATCCGACTCTACATTTAAATGGAAGTAATATTCGTATGTAATGACATGTCGGCTACCACTTTGTATAATTAATTTAGCAAGCTAGATGAAACTAAAAAGCGCTGCAAATTATGTTACTTTAGTTTGTTTTTGGTGCGGTTGAACGGAGAGCATCGAGTTGACTACGGATAACTGCTTTTCCATTTTTTAAAAGCACGTTTTTTTCTTGAGAATATTAGAAAAGTCCTGTTTTACTAAATATTAATGATTAGAGCCATCTGCTATCAAATGCGTGAGAATATTTTATCTTTTTTTCAGTTTGCAGAATACGCCAACTGTTATTTTCTCATTCTACCGAAGAAAGTAATATGAATCCAATTATTCTATAGCAGATGCAGTATTCTTCAAATTGAACAAAGGATAAAACATTGCTACGTAGTATTTGGCAAAATCTGATCTTTCTAATATTCCCAAGCAAAAGAGGTATTTTTAAAAGATAGAAAAGCAGTTACCCATCAGTAACTCGATATGCTTTATCGAATTACACCAAAAAGAAACTAAAAATGCGATTGATGAAAATTTTGAGTTTACTCTACCATCCATAAACAAAGTAGTGTTTTAATAGCTATGACGCTACCTTTCCAAAAAGTCATATATTCCTTTGCATATATTTTTACGGAATTTCCATCTAACAAATTGCATGGTCTCTTGAATGTTTAATATGCAACATTGAGTGCACTATATTAAGAATGGTCATATAAGCATACTTGCAGTTTCTTAGCGAGAAAATTGAATTTTAAAATTTCTCGAGCATTCTTTCGTTTTAATAAATGGCAGATTCGTTGTCAATTTCCTGAATATTCCGATAATATTTGTTGCGGTTCTCTTTCACTTGTTTTTGTTTTGTTTTCAATATATTTATGTACTAATTATCATGCGTATTCAGACCATAAAGTAACTTTACCCTACATTGAATCATCCCAGGTCGTGGACGTACGGCGGGAAACGGCCGGAAAGCACTGGAAAGCGCTGGAAAGTGGAAGCAGTATTCCAGTTGGAAGTTACCGGATTTTCTTCCTGTAGATTCCGATCAACTTCCAGATGTAAAACACAGAAAACTGACCGGAAAACACAGGAAACTGACCGGAATCCACAGGAAAAAAATCCGGTAACTTCCAACTGGAATACTGCTTCCAGTTTCCAGTGCTTTCCCGTGCTTTCCGGCCAGATACGGTGATTTTTCCGCATCTTTCCGGCCGGTTCCTACAGTATCCGTTCTTCGGAATCATTGACCTGGGATTATATCTATCGCACTTACTCTCAAGAAAACTTTTTCTTTAAGACAACTTCATTATAAAATAATGTCCAAAAGCATTGTATCTAGAATGGTAGATAGTGCAATATCAAATCAACAATGGATAGTGGCTCATGTTTCTTTAACTCTTACAATTGCTGGAACTGTATTCAACCTCCTAACATTTACAATTCTCTGCCAATCAACGTTTAGGAATGCAAAAACAAGACCGACACTTCACTACATGAGAACAATAGCTATCTTTGACATTTTTATGTTATACGGATGGAATCTTGATCATTTTTTTTCTACCGTGTATGGCTTTGAAATTCAAACATCAACAATGCCTCTGTGCAGATTTCTTTCATTTTTAAATTATTTCGCTGCTCAAACATCAGCTTGGCTTCGTGTTTTTATTTGTTGGGATCGATATCTATCATTGAGTCGTCTTCATAAGACATGGTTTAGTCATTCAAATAATGTTCTCACCGTCATTGCATGTATCATTGTCTGTTGCGCTATAATAAATGGTCAATTTTTCATATTTGGTTGTTCTTTCAATGCAGATGGGTCAATCAATGCATACTCTACGGCATTTCAAACATATCCAACATGGGATTACTTGAATTTGGCATTATATAATTGTGCACCATTTATATTAATGGTTATATTCAATAGTGGTGTCATTTATTATTTGATTCATCTTCGACGTACATCAACTGTACAAAATTCTCGAATTCAACATCGATCTATTTCAATTACATTAGTCATTACGACCTTTCTATTTCTGATTATGACAATACCAAGCACTGTAGGCTTTGCATTCTTTTCTAATACGGCAGGTGACACTATTTTATATTTCTTGGATGGACTTCTTTATTCTTATCATACATTATCATTTCCATTGTATATTATTACATTTGATGAGTTCAGACGTGAAGTTTTTGGAATTATAACATGCAACAGAAATAAGCGAAGAGTTGTACCACAAACTCAAACTGGTGTGGCACTCCATACTATTGATGCAACAAAGGCTATGGCCATCGCTTGATAGTTCTGCCTCACTTTTATTACCTTCTCTGATGAAATCAAATCTTTTTTAACTGAAAAATTATATGTTGCTTTGTAATTAGTTTCCTTCTTGAAGCAATAGCCATTTTGTTGATCTCCCTGCTTTTGTGTCATACACTCTCATACATAGATATTGTCATAGTTGTCTCTAAAAATTTGTACATTTATCAACGACTATATCAAAGTTGAATTTATTATTCCATGAATATAAAAACAAGCAATAAAAAATCATTTTCGATTCGTAAATTAGAGATGACGTTCATCGAAGAAATATTCAAATACAGGATCTAAATCAACACACACTACTTGCAATTATTCAAATCGTTTCCATAAAAATATTTACATTTTCGATTTTTAAGCTGTATAAGAAATGAATTCAAACAAAAAATTGATCAATGGTTAGCTTATTTTTCAGTAGATCTAACTAACCGATTTAACTCTATCAAGTTTAGAAGACCGGCTATTGAAAAATCTTAATTAAATTAGCACAAGGTTTCCCTATCTCATCAGAGTTTGATCAAGAAAAAAGTGGTACTCCTCATATTATTCTTAGAAGTCCTCATTTTAATGCTATTAAGAAAAAGGTTTTTTTTTGTGACTATTCCACAGAATTAGGTAATGTTTAATTGATTTAGCTCTTCAATTTTCTGCTAGTCTATCGCTCTATATGCATTCAGATAATCGAATATTTCTAGAAAGAGCGAGAATGCTTTGAGAAAACCGAAGATTAAATCAGCAAGGATGAATCATTCTAATCCGGCATATCGTTGAATTTGTCCTAATGGTTTACAGATGATTATCATTGAAAAGAATAATAGTTCATTAGAACTCACCGGATAGCCAGATACTTTCGAGTATGAAACACTACTTTCATTTCTTGGCTATTCTTGCTGCTTTATTTTTCGTAATTGATTATTATGTGTTGAATACTCTAGATGATAATTAACAAGTAACGCGTCGGCTCCATGAGCCTCGCTCAACTCAATCCTGAAAGTGCACGATAGAGGCAATATGATCATACTCTCAAAAACAAAATGATATCGTAGATGGTAGCAGTATAACTAGGATTCGAGGCTTGGATTAGAGTTGCCCGTACGCTTGCTAAAGATACACCAAGGTAGCGTTATTTTTATGGAACTCACATATGTTTTCGACGAAAATAGTGAGTGTGCGTTTGATGTCGAGGTTTTCTGACTACCCGTTCACGCCTTACACATTCCACGTTCAAATTGAATAAGAATCAACTTAATGATTCCGATCTCACCCTTAGTAAAAAAAAGAACTCCTGCATATGCTGGTAAAACCACGAATTAGGCAAACCAAACCAGCTCTGCGTCATTCGAGTACCGCACTCTTTCCATTAGAAAAAATCCCTACTGTAGCCTTCTTACTCCAAGTTTTTCAAAACATTAAGTGAATACAGTTTCAACAAAATCACATTCCCTTATGGGATTACATGTCATGTTAGTCGATCTATAACGTATATGTACTGCCATCAAGATCGCATAGCATACGGGAACGGTACCGTTTTCGCGTCACGAAGATATCAAATAATTTTAGAACTCTTTACGAGGGATTCTTTAGAATATGTTCTTCAAATCGTTTGGGAGCGAAAACTATCTAGGCAACCCACCACTTTTTAGAAAGAACTTCTGTCTGTCACAGATATAAATGAAATTTTAATGATCTGATCGCTCTACTGACTCGATTCAGAATCAACTCGAGGCTTTGTAAAAAGAGTAGACCTACAGATCAGACGAGAATATACGAAAAAATATGTTGGAATAAAATTTATTTATTGGGACTGTCACGACGTCACGACGTGGTTCACCCGAAATGGCTATATTGGCGACGTCACCCTTTTCTCAGGAAAAAAATGTATTACCATCAATTTTTATGCGTCTTTCATTTCCGACCCAATAGATCTTAAGTAGTGAAATTCGACCTTGTTATTTTCGAGTAAAATGCAAGACAATGTGACAAGAACTCTTATGATCTGTTTGAAAAATAAATCACGAGAACATTGTTTCGATGAAAACATGACGTACAAATATATGGAGTAAAAAATAGCTCTGAACAAAACGACGCAGGCCCACTTGCACCGCTCAGCGGAAGCACTAGTGATAGAGATTTCTGATAACATTCACCAACTAAAACAAATCATTTGCGGTTGGACCGATCTTGGGTATCTAACAAAAGATTTAAAAGCTGTTTCTTATAGAGGTGATATACGAATATTCTGGACTAATAATTCCCTGTTCAATATAAGAAGCAAGGATATAATTTGTCTGACCGGAAAATGGTTGTCGTTTAATCGACTAATTTCGAAAGTCAACCTTATTTTGACCTTCGGTTCAAAAAAAATATCGAATATTGAGTAAGATGAAGCTAAACGTCACACTTGCCCTGCCCATGACCACTCCGAGATTGAAAAAACAATTCAATTTTGCTTGAGTACTAAAACCTTCTTAAGACAGCCTTACTCAACTCCAGCCCACCTCATGGTTACATCACTACTAGATCAAGCGATCTTTTTTCTTGCATTCTGTTTACCGCAGTAAGGCACTCGATAAAACAAATCAAAACTTTTCCTCGCAACGGTGTAATAATGCTTTTCATTCGAAGGTAAGAAAGCAGCTCCTCATCGGTCGTCGGCGCCCCTTTGGGGTGCCACTCCCGACTCGTCGCTTCAGTGTGCCCTCCCTCCATTTTTGGGGAGAAGCTCACTGAACCTGTTCAAGCAATTTCTCACGTCGAATTCCAATCAAAACATAGTGTTTCGGCGTTAATTACGGCTTGTGTGCCTGCTTTATAAAAATACTTTGCAAAGATAGTAACCACAACTGCCAAAAAGGTTATTCTGCTCACTTTCTAGATTCGCCCACATCTGATTGAGCCTCCTTCTGCCAAATATAAAGTTTCTTGATAAACATCTGTCGCAATGCCTTTTTTCCACTCGATCAGTTTCTAAATCGTGAGAGCACACTGCTTTCTGAAAGATTGTAGAGACAAACTGAACATACAACCAATTTAATGTTGGTGACCCTATTTTTCAGAAAAGCGACAAAGAAAAAACCAAGCTCATTAGCGGAATAAAACCAAGAACGCAAGTCAATGTCCACAAAAATCTGAGAAAAGCATCTCAAGCGAGGCAGAAAAATCGGGAATCAATCGTATTCTTGATCCAAACCTTTTTAAGAAAAAATAATACGTTGAACCTTATCCATTATGTAGAAAGATATACACTCTGAAAACAGCGTTTCAAGCCATTTAGAAAGAAAGTCAATTTCAAACTTCGCTTTCCTTAATATCTTCCAGTTAGCTTTCTTTCTGAACTTCTCATCAATTGGTCACTCAGACAGAAACGAAAGTTTTAAGGCTAATGGGGCTCACACTCGAACCCCCAATACTGAACTACATATGGGGAGCCATTTTCTGAGAAACTCGATTTCTATTGGTTCCCTGGCCCACCAATAGGGTTGCGAGGCCAATGTGCATCATATTCGAACTCCCCACCCCGAAATACCTACTGGGAGCCCTTTTCCAGAAAACTCGATTTCTATTGGTTCCCTGACCCACTAATCAGACACCGGACAAACAGACGAATTTCCGTTGTGAAGACTCATCCTTTCAGGATTGAGAATAAATAAGAAGCCATGATGGCACATCACGATCTTTTCATCTAGTAAAATAAAAAGTATTCATGAATAATCTTTATGGTTGAGGTCTGCCTTTGTTCTTTTCTTTTGAACTCATGCTTCAACTAAGCGGAAACATTTCTTAACCTATATAAAGCCACTTCCGACAACTCGAACTTGGAGTAGCTGCCTAATTTGACTTCGAATATAAATGCAAAAAAAGAACACTTTCGTGATTGTAACGAACAACTGGATTGGAGTCGCTTGTGCCACTATCGACAAAGATGTTTATTAGACTACTTCAAGTTATCCAGAGTGTAACGACAAAACTAGAGAGGGCCGCCTATGCCCGTCGGCATGATGGTGTATTGTGTCATCAGACATCTCCACAGTGTCCCAACTTCATACATAACGCACGTATATACGTATAGGAGAGAGATACATTAGAACAATGGAAAGAGAACATAAAGAGAAGGAAGGAGAATCATCGAAGCGTGCCATCAATATCGGCACAGTGATCTCACGCAATCGCCCAGAAAAGATTTACTTTCTATAAAATATAAAATTTATAAATCGATTTCACTCTCATTAATAATTTAGGAATAGGTTTAAATTTTCTTTTTATAAATTTTCTAATTTATAAAAACTAAATCTAAGTTTATCCCTAAATTTTGAATGCACTGCCAGTTATATGATCGTTTTCTTTTGCTTTGGAATGGTTTTTAAATGGCCGCGGTTTTTTTTCCATTTATTTTCGAATTATGAATAGTTATTCAGATGTCGATTTATATTCGAAGTCGAACTAGACATCTCATGCTGGGATCGTTATTCTTATGTTCCTGTTTGAGAGCATGATAGTACTTCTAGTGCAAGTCATTTTTCGACCTGTTCGTAGTGTTTTTAGACCTTCATTTATCTATGGTTTGATGGAGAGTGAAAAGCTCTACAAGATGTAATAACAAACTTCGTGGAGGTTTCATACCTGAATTTACAAAGTGACAAAAAAATTAATTTTTTTCTGAACGTTTTTCTCGTGATCTTTTATCTTTGCGCCGTTATAACTCCAAACTTCAGGTACAACTATTTTTTACAATCATAAATACTTTGTAGAGTAAATTAAGAGCTATCAAATCAAACTTGAATGAATATAATGGCTTCAACCGTTTTCAAGATATTGAGAGAATACGAACAGCATTGAGGTATTGAAAAACGTTGTTGTTGTTTTACCGGGTGAAAAACGTCGGTGGCGCTTAAAGTTTTTTCTGTGAGGTTTCAAATCGAAAAAATTTGGATCTACATATAAAAATGAACGCTCTTTCAACCTAGATAGGTTAAATCAAAATCAAATTTTTTTCCATAGCCGCGATGTTCAGTCTTCTCATGGAACGTCTCTGAAGAATGTATTTCGCATTGTTGCTCTACAAGACCTTCATTGGAGCATTAATAGAAAAAGATCATGCAATTTAGAAGAAGTTTGATGCATAATAAATATCTCTTAATTGGCAGATTTCAAACTTCTGCATATGAATCGTCAAAATCATGAACACTCACCCAACAAACAACATAGAGTAAATACAGTAGCCTGAAAAAGGATCGACACAAGTCGGTTAGAATCAGCTACTTCTAAATTTTGAATGGAACATATATTTGTTAATGATTTTCTATGTTTCTTATTTTACTCACGAAAAATGTATATTTTACCCCAGCGAGGGTATAGATTGCAAGTTTGTCTTTCTCATACTCATTATCAAATTAGACATTGAAGTATCGACATGAATGCTCATCCTAAGACTCGAATAACACTGCTACTCTCTTAATGAAAAGCATCATTTGATCAATCTGTCATTTGGAAAAAATCTCTGGTTAGACAAATTGTTTTTCTGTAAACAAAAAAAAGTTAGATCTTTCCGATAGTGATCGACTAGCTGCTCTCTATTGCTCTTAAATATTTTCACTTTATTTTTTCAACATGAATTTAAAAACACGTAATCGACATGCATTTAAATAATGATTCTAGATTTTTTTATTTGTAAAGTACTTTGCTGTGAAAACATTGACAAACGATTATATAAGCACGAGAAAGAAAAAGAGGCAACATGTGAAATATTGCTACAAAAATGTTTTATAAAGAAGCCAGATGATTGATATTTCGAGTGTTTCATAACTAATTTTCTATTTCCAAACAATACAACATGCGGCCACTGGACTTTCAGCATCGGTGATTAATTTCTGATCTTCTCGAATACAGAAACCAGTAAAGATACCATGTATAATCCAACTACCGATAATACAATAATAACCATCAAAATTTTTTAAATGTAAGAATTCTTGATAGATACAATCTCGATCGGTAAAACTACCTTGCGTTTGATCGATTACTGATTCACTATCTGCCTTGAACAAGGTTACATTTTGACCGCAGCGACCAACAATTGGCTTTTTTGCGTAACCACAATGTTTCAAATCGTCGCTCAGTGTCCATTCACTACGGAGTAAATTTGGATGATTAGGATACATGGACCAGAGTACAGGTAGAAGAGCTTTATTACTCATAATAACTTTCCAAAGTGGCTCAACAACTTGAATCTGATCGTTAAGAAGAATATCACTAAGACGAGGATGTTCACCGTCAGTTGGCATCCATGTCGATCCGTTAGTATTCTCTTGTGCACGTTCTTTTTGTGCATTGTTATAATCTTTAAATATTGTTTCCCACATCCAAAGTTTCCAAACAAATGTTACCGGTTGCCCATCATTATCAATAATAGATCCATTTTTCCAGAAAAAATCTTTATTATCTACACATAATTTCGTTTGAATGCCAGCTTCGTTCATCGCTTTTTGCATGTAAAGTGCAGTTAACATTTCATCGCGATCAGTACCAATTAAAATATGAACAATTTTTGTTAAATTTAAATTCTCCCAATTTTTGACTAGAACTCGATGCATTTGAAAACCTCCTGTAAATACACATTCAATCTTCGCAGCTTTAGTCCATTTTGGTTGAATAATTGAACATTCGAACATAGCCGATGCACTATCAGCATTGTATTCAAATGCTTTCAATTGTTTACCATCGAAAGCTAAGTCGAATCGACCGGATATTTGAAGATCTTGATCATTCGCCCACGATCGACGAATATGTGACCAGAACACCTTCGGTATACAGAAACGTGTCATTAAATCATCATCATTTATCACTCGTTCAGTAGCTGCCATAAACATGCGTTGTAATTGATTGGAAGTAGTACCAACATTTAATAAAAAGTCTTGGTCAATTTTATAATAAGATAATTGTTTTGCATCGGGTCGAGCAATACTTTCACCATACCAATCCATAAAATAGTTTTCTGCTGGACAATTTTTATCAAGCCATTGCTCTTTGACTTCATCATTCTCATAGGGAATAAAACAACGTTCTAAGTTACCAACAGGTCTCGGTTGTTGATAATGTTCAAGAATTGAATCCATTTCTGATTCATCTAACGGTTCTAACTGATGATTATCTTCGATTTCCATCCAACCAGTGATCTCATGTTCTGGATCTTTAAGAAAATATTGTTCATTTTCTTTCACCATCATTAATTCTCGAGCATAATTGCCAGGCCAATACTTCGAATCGAAATTTTGCTCAGCTATACGAACACGATCAGGTAAAACTTCACAAATAATGGCAATATGACCGAAAGGTTGTTCATTTGATTTACTAAATATTAGTATAGAATCCGCCTCCGGTTTATGTGTTGAACCATTTGGATATGATTTTAATGGAAATAATTTACCATCGGTCACCCGTTCAATATCTGTTATTTCATTAAAAATATGAGAAGCATGTCGAACATTTTTGAATATGCATCGTTTACGTATGAGTAGCCAACGGCGAGCAAATTCGACACATTGCCATTTAAAACCCATGAAAACACCATGAAAATAATGTTGTTCAACGGAAAAAAATTCATCGTCACCATTTGAATAACAAGGTACATTGGTCGATGCAATGCCTTGAACATGATTGAATGGAGCAGTTGCCTTATGCTTTTCTTGTGCCATGATCGTTTTAGTGTCTTAAAAAGATAGTAACAGAAATTATTTTATTATTTTAAAAGCAATATTCCGCAATAGTATTGAAAAAATCATAGAACACTAGAGTTATTCATCTCGTAAAAGAGTAGAAAAATAGAAATAGATGAGTTCAAATTAAATAGTCGACTGGGGAATGAGAAATAACTGTATATATATATATGTATGAATAGATTGAAGAATGTTGAATTCAGTAACAATAACACATCACAATGACGAGGCAAATTCAAGTCGCTGGAAGAAATAAGGTGCAGTAGCACGTGTGCGCACATTCTCTTATTCTCAGACGTTACTTCAATTCCAGTGCTTTAAACCCATTTTCGTCTTATTATTTTAGTTGCAAACACGATCGACAACCTCAGTTAACATTTTATTATGCATTGTCATGATTGCATGATAGAAGCGATGATTCACACAGAACTTAGATTTTAATATTTATTTTTGATTTTGACAGATTTTTCAAGAAAATTCCATTTCGAAATAGTATATCAATTTGTTCAGAAAAAAATCTTTCAACGACAATAATGAACTAATACTTATTTAGTTTTATTATTCGATAAAATTTTTCGGACAAACAATTCGATGGATAACTAATGGGAATATTTTCATAACCAGAATAATATGGCAAAAAAATAAAAATATAAAAGAGCTTTTATATGATGATGATGATGATGATTATGCGCGTCATCTATATTTTGTTAACATCGAGTAGTGTAAGAGAATCGCAAGCACGTTTACTTAACCAAAAAGATTATCTCTTTGTTTTACTATGTTTTTTTTTTACTAAAGCAGGCGCCAGTATATTATCATATGTATTTTTGTTGAGGAAGTATACGCAAATTTAACTCGTGGAAAACAAGGATTTTTTTTCGTCGCTATTTAATACGCACAAACGAAAAAACACAAAAGAAGCTACAAATGAAATGTTAGAGGAGAAAAAAATCTGTCGAATACTGCTATGATTCGTTTTGATCTTATGAATCATACGAGATAATGCAGCGAGTTGGGAAGACCACAGAACGAAGGAAAAGATAACTCTTCACGGGACTCAAACCCAAGGGGGGAAAAGCGTGTTTCTGTATTTCTAAATGTTTCTGAGTATTTCTACGTATTTCTAGGTATTTCAGAACTCCAGAAATACATAGAAATACGTAGAAATACTCAGAAATATTTAGAAATACAGAAATACGCTTTTCCCCCCTTGCTCGAACCACGCATCTTCTGCTATCCGGGTAGATGTCCTCAACCAGTTAGACTATAAGAGACACTTTATCTTCGTTTTTTGATCGGATAAGGATCAGATCATAGCAAATACATCAATAGAAATAATCGAAATAAAATGTAATAGTAGTCATGAACGCAGCAAGAAAATACACATTCAGGATTTATTCTCGATGTACTTCGCTTACGAGAATATGACGAATAGAAAAAATGAATTGATAGGTTTCGCTAACGAGAAGCTATCATGGTGTTACACGCTTCCAACTGTCTATCGTTCTGCAGAAGAATGTTATGATGTTATATTATTGTTTAAATGTCATCGTCTCGATCGAATCAATCGAAAGAGAAAAATAATATATTTATGCACAGAATAAATCCTATGCTAAATATATACAGACATACTGTTCGATTTTTCTTATTATTAATCTGTGTCTGAATGAGAATTTACATTTGCACAAGTGAAAAAAAATAAAGAAATCATGTAAAATCATTTACCTCTGCAGCGAACAGACGTCGTTGTCATTGATAGATAATGTACCAGGTGACTGAGCTTATTTATACGTCTGAGAAAATAGATTGTCATTTTGCATAACCTTATCTAAGAACGACACAATCTATGCGAGAGAGGCAAATGTATGGCATGTAGGAGTTGTTCGTTTGTTTTTAACAACATGTAGTTTTTCTTAGTGGTTTGCTCTCTCTCGTTCGATCGCGCATGTATTTGTTATTGATCGCAGAAAAGAAAGGAAAAGAAACATCAATGCGACTCTGATAAACATATCTACACACCAGAGATGCCAAATGTGAAAGTCGAAAATCCGGAAAGGTTTTCAATGATCAGCTTTAGTCACGTAAAGAACCTCTTTCTCAGATATATTATCTATAACTTCATATATTTTCACAAAATAAAACATGATTTAATTAGCGGGTGTCGGTGTGAGGGTGTGGGTGTGGTTGAGTTAAAAATACAGTCTCACCCTCAAGAGAAGGGAAACTATTTGCAATGCAACGCGAAAGAAAAAGCAATCGGACGTGTAAGGTGACCAATAGAGGAAAATATTAAATATCTACCGAATTATTCACAATTCAGAATGCTAAAACGAATGAAATAAAACTGAAATAAAGAAATGACTAAAATCCGAAAAAAATCCGGAAAATCTGGCATCTCTGCTACACATATAAACTTGAGTGTTTTCTCGTTAGTTCCATTCATATTCTCTGATAACTTCGTCTAGAATTCAAATCAACCAAGAATCTCAATTGATAAGAATACATCGAAAACATCATAGTAGTGACAGGGAGCATTTTTCTTCTTTTTTCATTTTTACTGGTTTCGTCTATCGTTCTATCAAATTGATTTGGAATTGATAACTACCGAAGAAAAATGTCGTCTGCTGGGACAACTACAGAAGAGAATTCATTTTTACAGTAACGACATAAACGAGACGTAGATTATAGTACAATTTTATTTTCTCTGTAATTCAAGGGTAATAAAAGTTGTACGTTAACATTTAACGAGACCAAAGTTTCTCTGAAACGCTAAATCTTTACATTAAATGAAGAATATTAATTCTATTTTGTTCATGTAATTTATTTACTTAGTGATCTCCACTTGGAAATCTTTTCCTTGAAATACAAAAGTTCACATTAATATATTTTTGTTTTTCCGCTTGATTTTCTTAAAATATACTAAACATGTTTTGAAAGAAACAAAAACAATGATACAGCTGGGGTGTATGGTTTTGAAATCAAAACAAAAAGAAAACTAGTCAAGACAAATTACATGAGATTAACAAAAGCAGAAAATTGTATTTTTCTTAACGCGGTGGTGGTGGAGGTGGAGGAGGTGCTTTTGGCAATGGAGGTGTAAAGCTAAGATTATTATTTGAAAATTGTTGTCGATATGCATTTTGATAATACATGGCAGCATTATATTGATTCCATTGTTGATTCACATAATTTTGTTGTTGCTGCTGCTGTTGTTGTTGTTGCTGCTGCTGCTGCTGCTGCTGCTGTTGTTGTTGTTGTTGTTGTTGCTGTTGTTGTTGCTGCTGCTGTTGGTGGTGTTGGTGTTGGTGAGAATTCGTCCATGATGTTGATGCAGTATTAGTACTATTATTGCCTCCATTTGCCATTAAAGCTGGAATATGTTGAGCTCGATAAGAGTCACCTTCAATATATGACGAATAATTATTATTATTGCGATTTGTTCCTCGTAAAAGATGATAACCATCGAATACTTCATGATTATTATAACGAGGAGCTGTTGAGCTAAATGATGTATTTGATTGATTGAAGGTATTATTGGAGAAATTATTATTATTTGAAATAGGTGGCATTGTTGAATGAGAATTCTAAAAAAAAACAAGAAGAAGAACTTAAATATAATTTACTATTCTCACTTAACACAATCAACTCTAAATCTTATGTTTCATGCAAAGCCGAACTTCTGATAAAATTAAAAAAACTGAATCCTGGTGCTCGATTTTTAAATTAGTAAAATGAACAATTCTAATTAACTTATCGAATATTCAATTACAAAATCCTATTGAGTTCTATCTATATCTGCGAAGATGTGAATTTTATACTTACATAATCACTCTTTGTATGTAATGAACCATTACTATTAAATGAAACTGCACCAACTGTTGAAGTATTTCTATTACTGTCTACCATTGATGTAGATGTTCCGCTTGTAATAGCTAATGTCGGTCCAGCTATTCTAGTTCCACTCATCAAATTTCGTCGATCATCCAACGATAGAGAATTTGTATTTCCATCCTTTTTACCCATCAATTCATTCATTAATGATTGATACTAGAATTTTGAAAAAAACGAAATTCTTATCAAATATATTTTTCATACAAAACTTACTTCACAATCAAGCTTTTGTTGTTCTTGACGATTTTCATTTACCATAAGTGATCCATCGGGATTTAAATCAGCATAAGTACCATCCGGCTTTTTACGAAATTTACAATCAGATGGTATATGTCCAGCTCCACCACAAATAGTACATATTATTGTATTTGTAATAATATTTTCTGCTTCAGTCATTAATTTCAATTTACTATTAAAAAAGAAGCATATATATGTATACATATTAATGAAATTTTTGTTTCATGACAAAGTAACTAATATTTACATAAGACAATCATTTTCGCGTAGTGTTCCATTAAGTAACGCTAATTCTCGAAGTTGTTGTTTACGTAGTTCATTTAGTCCTTCTGGTGCATCGATACTTCGGTTTATAATTTCTTGAACCTAAAATTTAAAGATTTCCGAGCTAACTCTAGAAACTTAATGTTGTTTTTTTGTCATGCTTACTTTTTCTACTGCTTTCGCGACGATTTCGACTGAACTACCCGTAATGTAAGCATGTAATGGTTCATCTTCACCGGGCAATGGACCATGTTTGACTAGACCCATTTTTCCATCTTTGACAGATCCTTTGCCTGTAGAAACAGAAGAAGTGAGTAATAATTATAACTAATAGAGTATTTACCTCGAATGATAATTTTCGCGTTAGTCTAAAGATATTGTAAAATAATTTATACGAAGTCATTAGTAAAAACAAGCATACCTCTTTTTCTAACATTTTAAGTGTATTACCACGTGGTCCGATAATTAAGCCGACAAAATTTACACTTGGATGATCTTCTTGTGGAATCATCACTTTATCAATATACTTCATTTGTTGAGGTCTAAAGCAATAATAAGTTAATTACATAAAGAACATCTAAGAATTACTTCCGATCAATTCAATACTAGATACTAACTTATAATCTCCTGGTGGTTTATATTCAGGATTTATTGCAAGTAATTCTGCAATAAGTTGATGACGTTGTTCTTCAACTTTACGTCTTGCACGAACTTCACGAGTATTTTGTCGTTTTCCTTGTTGATCATAAATTGGCTCAGGTGATGGAGATCTTTGAAAGAAAAACTATGATGTAAGCTTCTTTTGTTTTTATAAAACTTATAAAATAGCGCATTTCACTGTATGGAATAGTTCTCGAGCAGTGAATACGAAATAAGCAAGATTTCTTTTAACTTAGAAGCAAAAATGATATGGTAGAGATTTATGTTGATTCTCAATATAAATTGTTTTTATTCTCAATTATATTATCTCACCTTTCACTCGATTCAATTTTGATTCAAGTTTAACGTCCCAGGATAATCATTAGAAAAGGAACACCATTTTATGATATAGAGAAAAACAAGCAATGAAATATAGAATACACATTCGTGTAGTTCTTGTATATGAGAAGATTATTTGGAGCACTAAATAAAAAAGAACATAAAACAAAAAAAAGTAAATTTTTGTTTTATTATTGCTTTACCTAACGCAACGAGTCTGTTTTTTAAATCAAAAAGGGGACTAATCGTACGGGAAATTAAATGAATCTTTAATAAAAAAAATTAACCTGTTTTCTGGATTTGATGATATACATAAATCATTCATTTTTAAACGACGTGTTAAGTCTTCTATTTGTAATTGTACTAAAAAGAAACAAATAATTGAAACAAATAGATATTAAAACAAAATATCTTACAAATATAACTTTTTTGTTGTCCTTCTGTCATACTAGATGTTGAAATCATTGTAGGCATATTAGGTAATAGAACTTTTTCTGTTTCATCACCATTCCAACGTCGTTTACGTGGTTTTCTTGCTTGTGTATTCAAAGTTACTGAATCAACTAAATCAAATATGTTAATTAAAAGTTTGAAATATCAAGAAGATTTTTTTTTTACTTGGTGATTGATCTTCATTTGGTGTTTTTATTGTTATGTCGTCTTCTTGAGGTTCGATTTTAGCAGGCGAAGATGATGGTACTGTCACAATAGGCGACTGCAGGTTGTAAAAAGAATTTTTATTATTATTCTCATTATTTACTTCTTTTTTCTTTGAAACATGAGACGATTTTGGTGAACCTCTATCTCTTGATTTTCGTGATCGTTTGTGACTTTTTTTGTGTTTTTTTGAATGACTTCGTCTACGTGAACGAGAACTATGAGATGGCATAGTAAAATAATAATAATAACGAAGATAGTAATCTAAAACTATTTTAAAATGTTATATGGAGTTAGTAAACATGCAAGAAAAAACATCAACATATAGCTTCTTTTCTCAGTCAATTTCTTGCTTGCTTTATGAAATACAATAGGTTGGACGAACAGTTCTAGTGATGTCGCTACAATTCACTTTAGTAACTGATAAGGTTCTCAATTCATAGTTGGATGCTACTCAAAAGTGAATAATAATTTTTATAACTTTAAGTACAATAGATCAATTATTTCTTTATAATATTTTTTTTTGATCTGTCTTATGGTCTCTCGGCTAAAGCTCAACTTTCACGCAAAGTACTTCAATTAATATAAATTTTTAATAGTTTATTTATTTATTTTTCTATTTTTATCAATTTAGAATTCTTTTTTTAAGTTTATCCCATAAATTTTGTAAGAAAATGAGAGTAACTAAATGAAAATTCGTGGCGTCCTCTACAGCATATCTTGAATGTTTTTTTCCGCATACAAGTCTGTTAGAACTCGGAAGAAATGTCAGATCTCTAGCTGAGAATAACGGTAAACCTGAATTTGGTCGAAAATCAAAATATCGAAACGAAAAATGTCGAAAAATGTATGACGCTAGCTAAAGAACAGATATTGCTATTCTACTCGGTTAAGAATTTATGTTAGTATTTAAAGGAGTAAAATCATATTTTACGAGGGCATGTCCCTGGCTTTTTGACGTAAACTACCCATTTACTTTTGGTTAAAATCCCAGAGACACATGCAGGAACCTTCCCTAGTTAGATAAACATGACAAGTCTCAAATAAAGCATAAGAAAATCAGTTAGTATTAAATGGATGAGTTTTCATGTAATTTTTCTTGCAACGATGTATAAGCGAGTGAGAAGATGAGATGCGTAAATGCACTTTTTAATCGTATTCGGTTGTTGCATGTATCGTAAACTACTCTCAGCTTAACCTAATAATGACGTATTCAATTGTGTCTATAAATAGATAACGCCTTTGGTTTTTTAAAAGTTGTATTGTTATTCCTGATGATGATTGAATAGGAGCAACCTATCGAAAGTTCGAATGAAAAAAACATGTGATTTTCGATAAAAATCCAATAATGCTTTTCGTAGCAGTTTTATACTTGTTATCTGCTTGGAAATGACTTCATTGAGATATGTATTCGATAGACCTTTATTTGTATTAGAGTTGTATAACTTGGTCTAAAGTTTTGGGGAATGTTGAAAGGTTTTTCGTGAAAAAATAGCAAAAATTGGCGGTATTTTTTAGGATATGGCTGAGTGAAATGATTTAGGAAAGATGTCTATCCTATAGAGCTGGTTAAATTCTATCTAGGGTGGTTTCTGCTTGTTTTGATCTAGTCTTAACGAACTATGACGAATTTCGGGAAAAACACCCGAGGTCTTTGAGAGTCGAGACGAGTTTGTTGCCGATAGGATCATGAAAATTCTCCAATGAGATTTGTATTCAATAGAGCTCGTCAAGCTCTATTTTGATCTAATGTCTTTTTAAGTTGGTCTAACACCTGTGTGAATCGCTTCTGAAAATACGTGAACCCTGACCTACATATAAACAGATCACTTCTTCTCTCAACGATTATTACTTGGTTCAAAATATTACTATTATTATTATTAACGAGGATAAAATTCATGTCAACTCTACTAATTAAATGCAGATCGATAATAAACGGTGAAGTATTTCACTCAAATATGATTGACACACGCCCTCATTTGTTATATTTATTGAGTAGAAGAAAGTATACCAATTATAAATATGTCGTCTTATTCTTTTTTTTTATGTTACCTTCAATCCATTTGAAGTAAAAAAGAAAAGAACAACATTGAAATAATCAACAGTAAATGATAAAATAAAATATTTCTTTTTAACGAGAAACATGACAAATCGTATGTTATGATAATGAACCGCTCTACATAGACATGACAATGTAGGAGTACAAAATATAAAAACTCGTCTGATAAGAAAAATTGTGTAGCTAATTTATTAGACATAAAAATGATTATATATATGACTGGATTGTAAGCAATTTTTATTCCGTCCTTTTCCGAAATCCGTCTACATAACAGCTGTCAACCGATGCATGAATTTTCCTACTCAAACATAGAACTGTCAGCTATGTTTTTATTCTACCAACTGATAGATTATATTTCTTCAATACATCAAACTTATTTTTTCAGTGTTGGAATACGATATCCTATAATCTTTTAGTTATGTCATTCATAATCAATTTTCTATTCAAGAATATTCGATAGATCCCTGAAGAGAAGATCCCAAAGAATCACATAAAAAGCGCTCAGTGTGGGCTTGTGAAGGTCTCATTAGAAATCAGCTATGATCTTCTCGTAGATTCACGATAACAATTCTGAATAATGTAAACGGTTTATATACGATATCATCTATTATTGTGTTTACATATGCAACTCATCGACGAGGTAAGCAGTAGTTTTCATCTTGTCTTTTGTATCATAAATAGAAATATTTATTTTGTTGTTTCTCAGATGATACTTGCTACCTCATTATAAATAAAATCGAACAGATTTCTATCTATACATTTATAATTATTGTTAAGATTAATCTATATAAAATAGATATGATTTAGAGAAATCCTTGAAAACGCTTTTAAAGATTTTGTCAATGATTCCCTCAGAAGTGTCATATCGATTCGATAGTTGATATCAATCTTTTATGCATCGATGAGTATTGATATTTCATTTGAAGCGAAAGAATGGAGATACAGAATGGACTGATTGAATTTTTCATTCCGGACTTTTAACTTTAGTTTTCTTTCGTTGCGGTAGACTCGAGATGATCCTACTTTTAAAATTTAAGAAAATAAATACAAAAACGCTTTTTAAAGCAGTTTTCAATATAACTTATTTTTTAACAGATTTAAATCATCTTAATCAATGCTGCAAATACCAGTGGTGGATCTACCAGTTCGGCTACCCGGCGATCGCCACCCCCTTAAGGATTTTTTTTCGATTTTCTCCAGTAGAAATGAAACAGAAAATAGTCGTTCTGCCTCAAATAGACTTGAAAAACCGTCTTTTGGTCAGGAGCGCCACCCCCTAACAAATTTTCTGGATCCGCCAATGGCAAATACTATCAGTGTAACATGAAAAAAACTTACAAGGTTGCTCTTATCGTAACAAGCAACTCTGTTGTCATCATAATAATATTACACGATTACTTGTCTGTAAAGTGTAATTGTTTGATTAAATTGTTCATTAGATTAGCTAAGTCAATAGTTAATTTTGTTCTTGAAAAAATGACAAATGACATTTTTGTGCAGCATAGTTGATGTCACATCAATGATGTGACATATATCATTCAATCACTTGTCCCAGCGAGACATTTTTGATGCCTAACGCCACCTATTATATACTTCTCATATTGGCAAGAAAAAAAGAAAAACATAATTCAATTCAACTCATTCGTTCGTATTTGCTATTTGTTGAAAGGTCTACCCATAAGATACTAGGCGCGTCGCTCATTGTTCATCATCACCCTTCAGTTTAACTTGTTTATCACTGACTGCTTGTTTTTGATTTTCTCTTGAAACCAGCTACTCTTCATTTTCAATAAAAATTTGCTCTTCACGTTTTTTTAGAATGCATAATGAAATTAAATAAATAATAATTTTAAAAAAATGAGTGACGATACGGGCAAGCCACCCGTTGAACAAACTCCCTCGACCCCAACAAGGTCAAGTCCAATAAATTCCGAAATAAAAATATTTTACTATATTGACGATCAAGATCCTCCTTATTTAACAAAATTAAATCTAACCGATGTGCCACGTTTAAAAGATTTTAAAAGTGCTCTTGATCGTAATTGTACAAAATATAAATTTTTCTTTGCAACAAATGATCCATCCATTGGAAAAGTTAAAGAAGAAATCACGAATGATGAACAAGTTTTACCATTTGATACAACAGATCGTATTCTTGCTTATCTTGTTTCGACCGAAGGTAGTACAACATCAAGTGGTGGTGGTGGTGGTGGTGGTGGAGGAGGAAATAAACCGTCTAAACATCATCATTATCATCATGACCGTGATGAGACTATGACAACATCAACCACAAATAGTTCATTTAATATTCAACAGCCACGTTTACAACGTACAAGTCGACGCTATGCATCAGCAAATAGTGCTGATTATCAAAAATACTTGCATAAACAACAACAAACTATTAATGACGATGCTACATCATTTCCCAATAGTGACATAGAATCAACAACATTTCTAGATGAAACTGAAGATGATAGGTTTGTTAAATTTTACAAGCTTATATTGTTTCTTATGGATAGAATGATTCGTTTCTGTTTTTGTTCTAGATATTCAACCGTGACAGATTCCACATCAATGTCATCAAGGTACCATGGTTATAATCGACCTCGCAGACGAAAACATCGATTACCAGTTGGTCTTGATAGAGTAAGGTTTTCTTTTCATTAATTTTCTTTTAATTAATTGTGTTTATCATCTATTCAGATTTCATCATTCAGCAGTCTTAATTCAGAATCAACTATGACATTAAATATAATAACTGTAACACTCAATCTAGGTAGCTACATTGATTTTTTTGTAGTTCTTAATTGATAATTATATACGATACGAAAACGTTTTGTTATAGATGCAGTCAACTTTTTGGGTATTAGTATTGTTGGACAAAGCGATAGAACAGGCTCTAGTGATGGAGGCATTTATGTGGGATCGATAATGAAAGGGTAAGGAAAATTCATAAAAAAAAAATAAGATCTCAAATTCTTTTTTTTATTCAGAGGAGCAGTAGCTCAAGATGGTCGCGTTGAACCTGGAGATATGATTCTTCAAGTTAATGATATTAGTTTTGAAGGATTATCTAATGACGATGCCGTTAAAATTCTTCGTGAATCTGTACAAAAGCCAGGGTATGTTTACATATGATGACTGCATACATGAAAAAAAATGTAAATTGCTTTTCAATAATCTAGACCAATCAAGTTAGTCGTTGCAAAGTGTTGGGATCCAACACCTCGAGGATATTTCACACTACCACGCCAAGAACAATCACGCCCTGTTGATCCATTATCATGGCTTGCACATACACAAGCTGTTCAAAATACATATAATAATCCTCAGCATCAATTCTTAGCGCATCACCCATCTAATTATAGACAATCGATGGTTAATTCAACAGCCAATATGAATTCAACAATATCAACTACAAACAATACAATGATGGATAATGAACGTAAGTTTTCTTTTTGTTTGTGTTTACTTGTTTTGATAGTTGATAATTCATTTTTCTGTTGAAATAAAATAGGCTGTGGCTATGATCTTAATTTAACTGTCAATTCAGATATGGATACAATTGTTCGCGCTATGGCTGAGCCTGATTCTGGTCTTGATATACGCGATCGCATATGGCTTAAAATACCCATACCAAAATCATTTCTTGGTTAGAAAAGCCTTATTGACTTTAATGGATGAACAAATGTATAATTTATTTACATAGGATCTGAGTTGGTCAATTGGCTGTTCGACCATGTCGATGGATTTGTTAATCGAAATGATGCGAGAAAATATTCTTCATCAATGCTTAAAGCTGGTTATATTCGACATACCGTTCATAAATTGACATTTTCTGAACAGTGTTATTATGTTTTCGGAGATCTTTATACACAAGGTATGATATAAGACTAAAATTCATTGAGAACTTCCAATTCAGTTTGATTTACCATATAAATGTCGCATTCTACAAGAATCAATACATGTATAGGTTGTATAGAAAATCCTTGATGTGATCACCATTGATATGCAACACTAATTTTGATGAATGAGAAAACAACATATTAAGAGAGCAACGTTTTTGCCGACAATCTTCTTAGTTAATGAAGAAAAATTTCTCGTCATAGATTTTCCATTGCCTATATACCTATCGTTATTATTATTTATCTACTAAATATACTCTTAAGATATTGATTATATCCTACCAGGGAATCTCCGCAACTGATTATTGATTTAAAATTCAGATTTTTAGGCTACTTGTAGATTCTAAAAAAAACTATAAATTCACTATAAAAAGTTCAATGCAAAGAGCTTTCTTTTACACTGTTTATCTACATTACCAGATTTAGATTGCATAATGCTTAGAGTAAAAGTTCGAAAATAAGATTCTCTAGTTTTGCTGAGAGGAACAGTTTTGGCATGAAAAAAAATACTATATCACAGTAGGCATAAACAAAGTACATAGTCTCATTTGAAAAGAGATTAATCAGTTACAGTATTTCCCATGTAGTTCAATCCGAAAAAAAAATTGTTTTCGATGTTTAGCCGATTGAATGAATAAATAAATGATTTGATATTTATTTTTAGGTATATCTCAATTAACTCTCAATGAAGAACCTGAAGATTATGAATCTGTGTCGGATAAAACAAGTATTGATCGTCGTAGTGGGGATTCATCTTTAACTACAACACGACAAAATACATTAACAACATTTGGTTTTGTCGATAAAAATAATGCTCCACTTCAATCACCTTGTCATTCTATACTTACTGATACACATAACTCAGGTGAGAGAAATACAAGAAAAATAAGTCAAGTCAATTAAAAGTTCATCGTTTTGCACAAAATCTTCCATGCACTATCTATATTGTGTCTAGTTATGTTAATGAAACATTCTCATTGTCGACATCTTTCCTGCTTGGACCCGACGATAATATGCAACCACAACGATAGCAACACTGTAAAACCATCCTCTTCACCTGTCGAAGTTTAGCTACATTAGTATTATTATTATAATTATAATTATTATTCAGCATTTGCCACATGGCAATAGTGCTATACGTACTATTTTCTCTATTCATTTTCATTCTCTTTGTGTCATAAATGTGTTTTTTTGCAATAAAAAAATCTCAATGCTTTTCTTTTTTCTGCGCAGTCAAATATATTCTCATAATTATTATTTGTTTCAGGTTGTGCAGGTGTACAATCCTTTCCAGGATCAGCATATCATAATGAGCCACGACATTTAAGTAGCGTGCCGAACGAACTGCGCTCAAGCAAAGAATCATTTCAACATGCTATGACAAATCCTTTGCCACGCGACTTTTTTGTTGATGTCATGTAGTTTGTCAGATTAGTTTACTTCTTCTTGTATAACATTTTACATGGTTCTATTAGAAATATAGATTTAATCAACGATATTTGCTTTTTTTAAATAAATAAAATGTGTTTTCTGTTTCTTCATTTCTATAGATGTTTAGTACACCGAAATCTTTACAACGTCGAACCGGTCGTTTTGGTGTTGGACGCTCAGAATATTTAAAACAATTATTAAATGAATATGAAAATCAGTTAACCAATAGTGAATGTAAACTTCAATTACTTGCGAATTTAGCTAATTTTTCCTATGATCCAATTAATTATGATTATTTACGAGAATTAAATATAATCGATTTATTTCTTGATTGCTTAAAAATGCATACAGATGATGATTACGTTCATTATGCATTAGCTGGTTTATGTAACATGAGTGCAGATAAAATTAATTGTAAATTAATTATTGAGAAAAATCCAACAATATTAATTTGTTTGGTAAAATGTTTCTTTTCAACTCGACTTGATATTGTACTTAATTCGATGGTAACGTTAATGTTTTTATGTAATCATGATGAACAAGAAAAAAATGAATTAATACAACGAAATGAAATTCGCGAATGTTTAGAGAAATATTCACAATCAAAAGATGTTAGATTATCGAATATGGCGAAATTGTTTTTACAAGATTGTTTTCCGTGAATCTAAGAATAATGGTGATCGAAATGTTTGTTTTTTTTACCGGTGAAGAAAAATCTGATAAATATAATTTTGACATTAGATAAATCCTACGGCAAATCTAATTCTATGAATAGTACTATGAATAAATTGGTTTTTCTTTGTTGAAACTGTGTTAATTTTTGTTTCTTCTACATTTGATTTTCTATGAGCTCTTATCTTCAGATATGGATGATATATTTGATGACAACGGTGATGATCTCACTATAGCCCATCATGATGCAAAAATTATACAAACGACTCGGTTCAAAGATGGCTTTCGTGAAGGATGGGAATCGAGTGAACAAGATGCATTCGAAAGTGGTTTTATTCGTGGTTATTCTCTTATATCATCACTTGTCTATGATTATAATTATGAAAAAGAACGTTTACGCTTAGAAAATCCTTTGAATCTTTTATTGAAAAAAGAAATTCAAGAATTCGATAATGAATTTCAATCAACTATTGCTCAATTAAAGCTACCAGATGAATTGAATGAAGAGCAACAAAATGAAACTATTACACGCTTACGAATACAATTCGATGATATTCTTTTAAAAATAAAATTTGAATTAACATCAATTAAATCCGTATAATGTGTTTGTTTTTCTATATATTTTTTTAGATGTTTATTCATGTTGTCATTCTTTATCTATTGATCATTCCAAATATTGTGTATAGTCAATGCTATTCAAAATCACCTCAGACGTGGATATGTGATGGAAATTATAAACCAAATAATCTTACATATCAAACTATTCTTGATAGTCATGAATTAGAAAATTTCTTTCTCAATAATTATCAAAAGGCAATATTTCGCATAGATAATTATCCACTAACACTTCGTCTATTAAATGCAAGTGGCAATACATTTCAATCTATAATAATGACATCTAAAAATCGTTTTAAATCAAAACTTCGTCAATTAATATTAGAGTCAAATAATCTTGAGCAATTTAATATTGATACTATTGTTTTACCTTATTCATTAGAAAAGATTTCTTTAGCAAATAATCGACTTAAAATTATCGATGCTCGGCTTTTTACGCATCTAAAAAATTTAATTGAAATTGATTTAAGAAATAATCAATTAAAACGTATTTTACCAGATCTATTATTAGGTAGAAATATTAATTTAGACAATAATCCACTTGATTGTCAATGTACTTCGGAAGAATATAGAACCATATGTGAAAAAGCAACAAGTATTAAACAAAGAACCGTAAGTTACTCGCTAAAAATAGATTAACCTAAGAAATCTGTTTACTATTATAAAAAGTTAGCTTGGGCAGCTAAGACAAAAGTATTATCTTGACAAAGATTCTTAATAAAACATTTCTATTGAGGATTTTGCTCCATCGATTGATTTCATCATTAATAGTTATTTTTATTGATACCATTGAATTATTATTTACTGTTCTCAATTGTACTTTAGATTGAAAGTAATAGTTGTATGGCACCATATTATCAAGCTCCAATAAGTGATCGATCATTACCAGCATATTTTCGGTTTTCAACAATTGTTCTTATCTGTCCAATAAGTGCACACCCACCACCTGTAATTATCTGGCTTACACCCTTTGGTAATTTAACATCGATCAATTCAACTAGTATTGATTTACTATCATCTAATGATAACGATGAACCAATCTATGTTACAATTACAGCTTTAGCTGGTCCATTTACAGCTCGTACGCAACATACATTACATGCATTCAATGGAAGTCGTTTATCTGTAACGCAAACACGTGCTGCACTACAAAATCGTATATCATGTTCGGGTATAAATATGCTAGGTTCTTATACATATGAATTTGATTTTGATATTGAAACGTATGTACAAAGTCGTGCTCTATGGCACATTATTTATACTACAGCTTTTGGATTTTTTATGGCACTTGTTGCTGGTGCATTATGTGTGACATTGAAGCGTACATATTATCATGGTGATAATTTAAAAACACCACCAATATATCCAACGATGACACCAAATAGCGCTGCACGTACTCCGCCTAATTTTGAACTTAATCAATGGTTATCATTGGCAGCAGCTAATATCAGTGGTACACTCGAACAAGTACGCGATAAATTACGTATAGGTGTTCAACAAGTTAGTGAACATATGGGACAGACAATGGGTCGTGCCACTGAATTGTTTACTTATGGTGTACAACATGCTGGCGGTACTATTCGACAAGCTGCTGAAACGTAAGTTATTATCATAAGAAAAAATTTTAAAAACTATTTAACTTATCTGTTTTCTATTTAAAATTTAAAGCTCTGCTGCATATTTACATTCAATTCGTGAAACAAGTCAACAACGTTTAAATACTATGCGTGTACAAACAATATCATCTTTACGTAATCCAGGTCATTTAATGCGTGCTGGTATGAATATGCTAACAACTCAAGTTAATTCTTTACGTGATTATTGTGGTGTTACCGCTGGTAATCCACATCCATCCGATTATGCATTTCAACAACAACAACTTCATCATTTACAAAATTCACCAGGACCAATATCATATATGCGTCAAAATCAAATCGCTACTATTATTGAAGAAGATGAAACAAATGGTGAACCAACAACAATGATAAACGGCATGGATCGTATACCTTATGTTGGACATACATTATCTTCTGTTCCAGTAAATGCATCAGGCATTGGTCAACTTGATACAGCCGATAATTCAGTCTTATTAGCACTTGAAAATTTTAACGAATCAACAGGCGCCAATACTGTCATAAATAATGACATTGTAATAGCTCACGGGCAAATGAGTGCAGGTATTGGCACATTTCATGATTATATACGTGATATTGATGATGATCTTATTGATGAACCCGAGCGATTAACTATCTATGGTGACCAACGTCCACATTGTTAAAGAAAAAAGAAAATTATTTACTAACGACTGTGTTTTTTTTCTTCTGTCAGATTTATCAAAATATAAATTTAAATTAATTCTATGTATTCTTACCGTTACGATCACGCAAATTTAGTCATCATAATTCAATTTCACAACATCTATTGTCTTGAACTATGTAGAACAGTGATTAAAACTTTGAATCCGTTTACTTTTCTTTTTAACCTATTTTCAATTATTCCTTGTACATAGAAATATATTTGCTAAATAAAGAAAGACTAAAAATCAGTTCGACTTTGTTTTTTATAATCGTTTCTTTCTTTTTTCTGTCTTCATTTCGACACATTTTAGTATAATGAATACTATCGATAATGTACGTCGTGCTTTTCGTTCAAAATATTCGTTTGATGTGCAATCGACATGGTTACAACCATGTCTTGCTTGGTTACGTGATCAATTTCAATTAACTGAATTAACTAATAATTATGCACTTGAAAAAATCTATAACCAATGGCTTCATACAGATATCACTCTTATTGCTGATGCGTATTCTTTGCCAAATGATTTGGATTTAAATGCGAAAAAAGTTCAATTGAGTGGTAAATATGCATTACAGGTAAAATGCCACTAATTTCTGATTGTGAAAAACTAATCTTCAGTTTTCATAAGTCCTTTTATCTTATCAGAAAAGCTTCCAAAGTTTCGAGGGTAGATTTTCTAGCTCATAGCTACAAAACTGAGTAAAGATAGTGTTACATAGATGTAGATCTCTTAAATCTATTGATAATATCATTTTAAACTATATCCTTCCGAATTCCTGTAAGCAGTTTTTGTTTGTTTATCTCTTATTGTTTTCGTAAAACAAACAGACCGAGTGCATTTTTTTTATCACATTCGATTCGTCATGTGATCGCTGACAGTCATTTGCGTAGTTTTCCTTTTGGCTTGTTTTCTTGATGATAGATAACATTCTATTGAATATCATGACCTTTTTTAAGGGTAGTTAGTAGTTTTCCAAATTCAGATTAGACGTCAATTTAAAAACAAATACAGATTTGCAACCAGGAAAAATATTCTGTTCAATAAAGTATCGCTCAAGTCAATCGGACAGCTTTCATTTTTTTTTTATCATATGAACGTCAGACGCAGAGGTGGGAAAAATACTCGAAGTACTCGGGGGTCAATACTCGTGCTTGGAGATTTTATTTGCCGAATTTGAGATAAAGAATCTTTTATGACAAGAATATCTCTTTGTATTTTTCAACAAAGTTGGTTGAACAAACGAGCACATCACTAATATATTCTCTTGTCGATCAGCGCAAATATGTTTGAAGATTTGTACAGCATATAGTCATGTAGTAATCGCCATATGCCAGTCTACTTTCTTTCTTCGTTTCATATAAATATATTTAGTAGTTGCAGAGCATTAAGCCCAGGGGTACCGCGACAGCGGGAGGATGGAGACATGAGCCACTCTCGAGTATTCGAAAAAGTTGTCTTGCATTGTGTTTCACACAATGAAACTTATACTACATCAAGTACGATCTGTTAAGCTACTCCCAATGTTGCCAGATGTTAAACTCGAAAATTCGAAATTTAAATCTCAAAATTGGGAAAATTGGAAAAGTTGAGAAAAGAATCTGAAAAATTCCGAAAAAGATGCAAAAAATTTACGAAAAAATCCAGAAAAAAATGGAAAAAATCCGGAAAAGTCAAAAAAAACCTTCAGAATCCGGAATATCTGGTAAAATTGGTTACTCTCGCTCCAAAATTTTTGGAAAGCAGGATTTTATAAGTTACGCCCCCCCCTCGTCCATCTCCAATATTTGGTTGCTTGCGACACCCCTGATTAAGTGTACATTTTTTACAAACTAGTTTGGGCACTTCTAGTCTTACTGATACAATAATTAGTATTGGTACTCGTACTCGAGAAAGTCCATACTTGCCCAGGTCTGGAACGTCAACAAAGATAGTTGTTAAATTAACTTGAGAGAGATTATGTATACTTTTGTAACTAATATGATAATGAACTGAATGAGATGAAGCATATGTTCTTATCACTTGATCAAAACTGGAAGAAAAAATGATTAAAGTCACCTATAGGCACGATTTTGCATACAGCTCAAGGCACCAGTATTAAATTTGCCTTAGAATTATAATCAGTTTTGATTTTTCCCCATCTTAAACGAGTAACTGACAACGAGAAAAAACGTTTTCGTGAGCAGAAATTGACGTTTTATATTAGCGTCAGTAGAACAGATTCAAGAACAATAATTTAATTTTAATTTCAAATAGCATGAATACTTTCAATTTATTTTTCGTTTCATCTATCCAAGAAGCACATCGAATGGTCTTAAATTTTTTTTGCCCTTGAATCTTATTGGTCTGACTAACAAAAAATTTAAACTATTTTTTTATGTAGATCAATAGTATATTATGTATTTCTGAACCATACTACACACAAGTTTTGAATATACATGGTGATCAAAATGACAATGAACGAATCGATACAGATACAACTGAAACACAACAATGGAAAGTGAGTGAGTGAGTGGTATACATGGGCTTCTCTAAAAAAAATGAAAAATAAAATTTTATTATAAACTATTTAGCCACCACAGACTAAACGTGTTCTTTATTTGGAATTAACTGATGGTAAAACAGTACTTCGTGGATTAGAATATGAAACAATTAGTGGTCTAGATCGAGATACGACATTACCTGGTGCAAAAGTATTCATGTTCTTCTCAACGAACTTCTTTTTTTTTAAATGAACAATTATTTCATAGATTCTTGTGAGCGGTCCAGTGATGTTTCGTCGAGGAGTGCTACTTTTAACACCAAAGAATACACAATTGCTCGGTGGTTATGTTGATAGTTTACTTGATAAAAGTATTTCACTGGAAACAACATTAACTTCATTGTCAGTTTATTGAGTTTTTATATACAGAATGATGTGTTTTTTCCCCTTTAGGTCTAAAGCAGCATCAAAATCAGACGAAAGTCGAGTACGATTCAATCGATTAAACATAAAAGTTCATCCACCAATGACTAATGATAACTTAATCAATCGAGCAGCTGACGCACGAACGAATCAAAATGTTAGTTCAAATAATTGTTATATATAATTAAACATTGTACTCTATTATTTAGAATTTTTACGAAGAAGAAGATGAAGTGGATGAATTGATACGTCAAGCCTATGCTGATGGTATGCTTAATGATAATAGTCAAATAGTTGCAAATTCAAATGATCGAAATCCTCCTCCTCCTTCTTCTTTGCCATACAGTACAATTCGATCATCTAATAATGCGACAAATACTATAAGAACTACTGCTACAACCAATCGCCTTTCAACTCAAATGAACCAACCTGAAAATTTAATTCTTATATCTGATGATGATGATAGCCATTTATCGGAAATAAACATGCCTTCACTACCACCATCATCATCTTCATCATCATCATTATCATCCTATAATCAAAGATCTCATATACCTACTTTTTTTTCTCCGGCACCACCACCACCACCTACTGTACGACCTCCAGTGCCTAAAATATCTTTACCTTATACATATTTATCTCTTATTCGTTATCAAACATCTTCATTGAATGCAACGTATCAAGATTTTACAATCAAAGCATGTTTTTCATCATTGGTGTCTAATCCACGTTTAGTTAAAAATGAATTTGATTTACAAGCGTATATTAACGATGGTAGTGATTGTATACTTGTTCGTTTAGCATCTGATCTTCTTGCTCAACGCATTGGTATAACTGTAGCAGAATTAATGATAAAACGAAAAGAATGTACAAACGATATTGATAAACAAAAACTTCAAATGAATTTCAATGAACGCTTGAAAATATTTGGTCATAACATGGCACAATTAAATGCTATTATGACTTTACGATATTTTTCTGATATTGAAAAACCAATGGTGATGGCAATTGATGAAACCTAGTCAGATATTTTCTTTCAACTTAGTACATGTTTTTTTTTCTTGCAATATTAAACTGTTTATATTGAATAAGTGGATAAACTAGCGCAATAAAGGTTCTTACGTATTTTGTATTTCAGATGAAGATCAACGCATGATGGAATCGTCTCAAAAGAATATAAAGTTGACATGTAAGTTATTTTTTATACTACAAGAGCCACATGAAGCTTTCAATAAAATGAAAAATTTTAATTCAAATGATTTTCGTATGTTGTACTGTAAAAATTCGTAAATAGTTTATTAGAAAAATATAAAACGAATGGAACATCAATGATTGATATTCATATCTTTTATGAACTGCATCAATCAAGTTTGGCAAGCTAAAAACTAGTAATCAAACGAATACTTATTAAAATGTAACGCAACCATTCATGCTTAGAAAATATCCTTCAGGTCTAGATGTCCGTGAGATATAGTCCTGAATGGAAAGATTCCCATCGTTATTCATTTCTAATATAAGATTATTGTAAGATAGATGCTGTTTTAATTCATAACTCTTTGATGGTTGTACTGTAGAAATCTTTCTGTCATGCACGTCAATAGTTAATAGTTCCATCAAAAAATAGAATTCAATCCGTCGTAATAAATTAAATTGCATAAATAACATCATGATTGAATGCTGTTTATATTTGACCGGAATAACATTAGTTTACAGAACAATACCATTAACTGTTATTGCTCGGTAAAAATTTTACCAAAAGACCTTTTAATCTATTAGCTATTTAAATTATTTTATAAAAAAAAGGTTATTTTACATAAAAATTGTTTTATTCTGTGAGTAGAAACCTTTACAATGATGCTTTCTTTTCTTTTATCTTATCAACTCTTTTCATTATATAACTCGTAAATTGTAAGATATAAATCATTTGGAGCAGTTATTTTATTTTATCTAAACATATTAACAGCAGAATTCTGAAATATCATGCTTAAATCGTATTTATTTAGTCACGAAAAATATCAATTGAAAACCCATTTGATAGTTGGGAATATTTGGATTACCACATGCAAACACCATTATCATCTCAGTGTCTTACTGTTAATTTGGATCCGCCTTATAAAATATCGACTGAACAACTTCATGTTTTACCAACTAGTAATATTTCAATATCATTTCGTTTTCTACGACCAGGAGATCAATCGGAAGTGAAGTCTCTCTGTTGTGATTGGTTTCCTATTGAATATCCTGATCTATGGTATGATGATATTGTACGCGATACCAAATATTATGCGCTAGCTGCATGTGAAACACATACACAACGAATTATTGGTGTGGTTGTTGCTGATATACTTGCACTAGGTAGTTGCAATCGTGAAGATCAACAAATTTTACATAAATCATTTTCATTAACAACACCAGTTTGCTATATACTCATATTGGGTGTCGAAAAAGAATATCGACGGCAAGGTTTAGCAGGTATTTTATTGTATCATTTATTAAATACATTATATGAACGTGGTACATGCCAAGCTGTTTATTTACATGTTTTATATTCGAATAAACAGGCGATAAAATTTTATCAGTCAAAACATTTTCAATATCGTGTACATTTACCACATTATTATTGTATTAAAGGAGAAAATTTAGATGGTTATTGTTTTGCTCTTTATCTAAATGGTAGACATTTTGAATTATTATTTCTTTTTTTTAACTAAAACTCTTATTTTTTATTTAGGTGGATATCCACCATTTTCACTAACGGATTTCCTATCTTCTTGGTGGGCCTATATGATAGAAAGAAATCCTTGCCGTCTAATTCAAATAGTACGACATTTTGTTGCCAATAAATTTACATTTAAAGATGATCATCAACGTACATCATCATATAAACAAATATCACGTATTATTTGATTTCTATGACACGTTTGTATGCATATAATTTTGTCTGGCTCAAATATTTTAATGGAAAATAAATTTTTAGCAAAAATGCACATTGAACAAACGAAGAAAAATTTTAGTTTTTTTTTGTATTTTTCTTTCTACAGTGATTGAATATGATGAAGTTGGTTTTATGTCTATAAAATCTATAATAGATAATTTTTAAGACAAATAAAAATTCCTTTGCATTTACATTAATCGGATTATAGTTTCAGATTAGCTCACACAATGATATGTCATCAATACAGGTTAGAAAGTAATCGGAAATCTTTGCAACTGATTTGTTACACTTGATTAAAATCATTGGAAGATAGCGATTATTATTATCTTCTTTTTATTTTTAAGGTCACAATACTTTACTTTGGTCGTCTTCGTGAACTAGTTGGCACATCCAGTGAAAAACTAGACTTTGATCCTTCAATTTCCTATACGAGTCAAACTATTCTTGTTCGTATTATAGAAAATCGTCCAATGTAACAAGACAGATCATAATTTTTAAAATCTTTCTATTTCAATGAATCATCTGATTCTTTGCTTTAGTTTAAAATCTTTTTTAATTTCAAATTGTTTTCGCTTGGCTGTTGATCAAGAATACCTACCCGAAAGCGACTTTGTAAGGTTCAGTGAACAAAGCGAAATAGCACTTCTTCCACCGTTTGGAGGAGGCTGAAAAATGAACTATATACACCTTCAAACTGAGCCCATTCTAATCGAACAGCTCTATCGACGAGTTGTTTCTCCTTCAAGCGGCGCTGTTTCGTCTTTTATTGGTTTGTATCGATTTTATTTTTTTTATATTTTCGGTTCATTTATCGGTTTTCTTCGTGCATAGGCATTACAAGAGACAATTTTGAAGGCCGTCGAGTGACTCGTCTTTCCTATGAAGCTTACGAACCAATGGCATTAAAGGAACTGAATCGTTTATGCGATGATGCTCGAAGAAAATTTGTCAACATTGAACATATTGCGATTTCTCATCGCCTAGGGTCAGCATTTAATTATTACAATCGTGCAGAGAAAAACAGCCGCACAGAAGCGTAAAATTGTTAGTGCACATATTTAATAAGTTACGAGAAAATGAGAATGTGCAGATCTCTAAAGAAAAAAACAACAATAGATATAGGGCCCCCATCAATTCATTCATCTAATTTTTTTCTTCATATTGTTTAAGAATAGAGTTGAGCACGTGTCAGAATTGGTTATTATGAAAGATTTCTTTTTTTTTAATTTCTTTCTCTTTTCTTTAATAGGCATGTTTTCTTTTGTATTTCTATCTATTCAGCGACGTGCCAATTTCTGACATATCCGTTGCTATTTACGTTTCGGGGCCTCATCGACGTGATGTATTGGATGCCGTTTCCTTTCTCATCGAACAGCTCAAAGCAAATATTCCCATATGGAAAAAGGTAACATATGTCGTTTCTTCTAATGGTTCGCTTTGCTTTTGGTCATATATGTATATATATATATAGAGGCTCAATTCAATTATTCTTTTTTTCTAGGAATTCTACGAAGACTATAACGACAACAACAAGAATAATAAGAGCAATGATAATAATAGTAACATATCAACGTCTTCTTATTCCTGGAAAGAAAATAGATAAATTTGTTTTTTCTTCCTGTTTTTTTTATATTCTTGTCTTTTTTAATTTCACATAAATACAACTACAAACATAGAAATAAACATTCTACACAGTGCTAACGAGTCTATTTCGACATGGTATAGGATGGAGGGCGCCGAAAATATTTAGTTCAAATAGGCACATCAGAGCTACGACAGACAACCATACGACAATCAGAAAAACACCATAAAATTTTGTTAGACGACATCGATTGACAAAGAAAGTTATAAGAAATGTAATAATTGCAACGAACAGAACAACTGTTGAATAAACTAAACCTCGTGAATGAATTTCAACAAAGAACGGTTCATCGCTACTTGAAGGTCCTAAAGTATCATGATTCGAAAAAGCAGCAGGATCGGAAGAGCTTGACGAAAAAGTTGACAATGAACCATCGCTCAAAATTGATGATGCTTCAAATGGTGTTGGCTGATGAGTAAAACGCATTAAATTTCGGAACAACCATGGTATACCTAATCCCATTAAAATATCGAACACATTTGAGCCAATTGAACCAGCAATTGCCATTTCAGGATGCCCACGTCGTGTCATAACAATAGCTGAAAAGATTTCTTCTATGGATGAACCAAATGCTAGTACTGTCAAACCCATAATACTATCTGGAATATTTAAAGTAAAGCCAACAATTACTACAAGCCATACAAGAAGATAAGCAAGACCAGCCACCTAAAATAAAAAAGCAAATATAAAAATGACTTTTTATGACAAAAAGAACAAACATCATTTGTTAGCCGAGCTCGATCATTATGAAAGAATCGAAAGGAAATGCTGTCTCGCTTTTTTTCCGGTATGAGATATGTTTTATTTTTAAACGTTACTTACCCAGATAGTTGACATGACAAATGTAAGCATATAATAATTATGAAAAACTTCTTTTCGACAATCAGGTATTGTTATATGCATAAGTAAACGAACCGGATACATTAAAACCCATTTTAAGATTTTATATCTTTTTGTTGGCAATTTCAATGGATCGAATATTTCTGTTGCATTAGCCACTATTTGTTGATTATCTGGTGTATCTTTAAGACGTCGTTTACTTGGTTTATAAGGTAAACGTCGTTTTAGATCATCGCTACCAGTAGCTCCAGATGTATGCGTTGCTGTACTCATCACAATCGATTCGGAAACTGATCGACCACGAGTAGTCAGATTTTCTTCTAGTTCAACGCTATTATTTAATGCTTGTAATTGTTCTGGAGGATGTTCTCGTGACCCAGATGTTTTCTGATTTTTTGCATTACCGCTCATAAGACGAGATAGACGATCGTTAAATTTTAGAATGCCAACATAAACAAAATAGAGTAAAACTAATGCTAATGCTTCATACCAGTACACACGTTGATCATATATAACTATATAAAGTGCAGCAACAGCAATACAATAAAAACCTGCATCGCGTACAATCGGATATCCATCCAGCTCACATACTGTTGTTGAAATAAGTGCACATAAAGCAATGACAAAAAGAATATTGAAAACAGCTGAACCAACGATTGTGCCCACTTCAAATAAAAAAAAGACAACAATTACTTAATTAAATTCTAAAAAGAAAGTTCAATAGTATAATATATTATAAACATTTCTTCATTTTCCGTGATATAGAGTGAACGACCGATGTCTTATCTTTATTGTTTGCCTTTCTTTATATCTATATTGAAAAAAAAACGATTATCGATCTTATCTAACTATATCCGAATACCCTCTTTTTTATTTAGTCTTTTTTTTATGTTCTTCAAGAGTTTGAAGCTATAAACATGAGTATCAACTTACGAGCTATATCAGATTTAACAAAGAAAACACCAACGATGGATGTAAAAAATTCTGACGCCGATGTTGCCAATGCCATAAAAGTTGCTCCAGCAACATCCTATTAATATATGTGCATCATAAGATCATGTGTGTGTGTAGGTTTTTTTTGTTTGTTAGGAGTTTTTTTAAAACACATACCGGTGTTAAATTTAAATTGCAGCTGATTCTTTCTAATGCGGATGCAAAATAATCATCACAAACAATTTCAATAGCTGCAAATGAATACAGTATAAGAACTACATAGACAAGAAAGCCACCACGGCGACGTTGCTCATCTGTAAAAAATAATGGTGGAAATTCATCAATTGATGCTGATTCACATTTATTTGTCGATTGCGATGCTGTTAATGTTGATGTTGATGTTGATAATTGAACGTAATTTGTTGTATTTAATGAAAGTGTACTTGTTGGCGAAAAAAAGATTTGAAATATAGCAGTAAAAAGAACTAGTAAAACGTATTGTCGTCGAATCATGATAATTGATAGAAGAGATTTTTAAATGGTGAGAATAAAATTAATAATTCTCTTCATCTATTATGTACAAAAAGAAAAAGAAAAGAAAGAGTTAATATATGGGAATTGACAATAATTAGTTAAAGAGCTTTCTGATAGGAAGTATTTTGCAAAAAATGCATGACAAGTATTCATTTAGTATGTTATCATCTATTAATCTTATGGCGAATAGTTATTTTTATTTTTATTTTAATTCTGGCATTCGCATACAATACACGAGACAAAATGCATACGCTGACATTTAATTATGATGATGCAAAGAAAATAGAAAGCATTAAAAAGTGAAAAAATATAGTTTGCCTTCGCTTACCTGGTATTACTTTTATGACTATCTTGCTTAGCTTATTTTCTACTCAATAGATTTAGCTGTTTTCCTTTTAACAAGTGCTTCGTTGTTCAAGAATGAGAAGTACATTCTCGTTTTCTCTGATCCGTCCTCTCAGTATGCTTTTATATTTATAAGCTACTTGGTCGTCTGCTCTAACAGAAGATCACTATCTCATCACTTATACGTCATCATCATCATCATCATCATCGTTGTCATCTTTATCAATGCCGAGATGACTAGAGAGAAAGAGAGAGCAGCATTGGTGGCTCTCTATATACAGCGAACTAAATTATAATCATAATAAAGATTATTGTTTTCCTATTGCGCTCTCGTTCTCTACAACTTTGGCTGTTACCCGTTTGTCACTCTGCAAGTTGCTCTCCCCCTTTCTCCTCGTGTGACACCAGGAAGAAAAGGATAGCTAGCTACTAGACTCTATTGTATAAGAAAATAGCACGGCAGGCGGCATAACGGGCGAACACGAGACTGCAAAGTCGACTCCTCTTCTTCTTGTTCTTCTTCGTCGCCTTTGCATCGCTGTTTCTCATACTTCTTTGCATGCCACATAGCACAGGACATGAACCAACAAGATCTATTGCTGATGTTTTTACTTCCGCAGGCAAGAACAAGACATATGAGCATAATTTTAGTTCCTCGCGTATTTTTCGAAATCAGAAAATCGGAGTCTATGAAGAAAAAAAAGAACAAGCAAAAAACAAACTAAAGTATAGAAAATGTGTGCAGAAAGAGTGAGAGCAAGAGACATCATGAGTATGAAAAGAGATTAACTCTTCGCTCAGAAAATTCTGTCAAAGGATCTTAACAATAGACGGCAATGTTGAAAAACGCTCTTAGGTTAATAATTGATCTTTTATCACATCTTATTATACTACATTTTATATAGATATACACCCAAACAGCTGTAGATCATCTATATTAGATTATACTAAAGTTTGTGTCTGCTATTGCGTGCTGGCACATATCCGTCAGAGCTCTTTGTATGTTTTAAGCATCTTGCAGTATGTTTTTTACTGATAAATAAAGAGATATTTAGAAATTATTCTTATAACTTCTTATGAAAAAAAAATGGGAAAAGAATGTGAGTTTTTGTTATTGGTTATTGTGGCTATTTGTTGATTTTTGGTACTATCTCATGGGATCCGATGGGCCCGTACAATCAACTTAGCGCGTGCGTTGCACACGTACACATTCATATGTCATTTTATGTGCTCAACGATTGAATTTGAAGCGCACATCAGTTTATCGCACTCTTCGTAGTGTCACTTTTGTTCGTCAACTATCAAAAGCATTAAAATAGTGACATATATCAACTTATCCGCATTCAAACAAAAGAATACAGGAAGCTTACTAGAAAAACACATAAACTATTTGTTGTTTCCTAGTCGAAAGAAGAAAGCTAACCTATATATCTGCACTGTTTTGTTATTTAGAGTTGGCAGCAAAAAATTTTATTTTCTTGCCAATTACTTATATATTTAAAACAGGTGCAAGCATCTAAGCTGAATAATGAAATAAAAGATCTATGACAGATAAGATTATACCTTCACGTTCAACACCAGAAAATTATGTCTAACACAGTTATTGAGCATGGTAATATAATACTTCGATAAGATTTACATTGCAATAAGATCTGGTAGATCTCACTAGCAGAAAAAGAATTTTACTATTAGAGGCACGTCTCTCTAACTTTTTCCTCTCGTACTTTTTACACATACTATCACAATCTAGAATGCACACGATTTGTTAAAAATACATTACGCATGTTTTTTTAATATAGAAACAAAAAGAAAATTGGAATAACAATATAAATTTCAGGACGACTTATTTTACTTTTTTATGCTGCCGCTGAAGCAATCAAAATGCAATGCATTAGCAGTATATTTCTTTGTATTTATATTAAATCAACGCCTTCTTGAACAGCATACTTTACTGAACGATCCATTTTTTTTGCTCTTTTCTCTCTCTCTCTCTCTCTCTCTCTCTTTCTCTAAGCAAAAAAATATTGAGATGCCGAGTTGATTCATTTCTAGAAGAGTAATTTACGTCACGTTTTTGTAAGATTTCTACTTAGATACTTACTATATTGCTTTTAATCAATTGAATTTCGAATAAAAAATAACAATTTATACTATATTGTCATGCTAAAAGAATACTAATAAAAGCCCATCGAGACTTCTCACAATAGAAGTTTTAAATTAATTTTCTAATTTCGTGTATATATACTAAAATAGAAACTATTACTATGTGTAGCCGTCAAAATCATCCGACAGACAACAGCATCAATATTGATTATCCTTAATAAACTAATTCCCATGTTGCTAACTACATATCGTCCTCAACATCGAAGTCTCATACTTTGAAAATCATTTTTTCTTTCGATTAAAATTGAATTCTTAATGGTGTAATGAGTATGTTAAAATTAATCAGAATACGTGTTATTAATTACGACTACCCAATGAGAGTAATTCTTGAAAAGAAGTCGTATTATATATTTTCTTGTCAAATGAGAATTGCTTTGCCTACTTCACACACTATCTCTTCAAGTCTTAATCACAGCAGCTAGATATAAAGAAAGAAAATTCAAAGTTATAGTAACATCAATTATATAATATTTGCATGGTTTTTATTTCAACTTTAATTAGCTTTTTTGTAAAAAAAAATGTTTTCACCCTTTATTCAATATTGATGGTAAAATCTTTTTCAATCCATCATCATGAAAACACATTGATTTGCGTTACTTATAATCCCTTACCTCGAAATAATAAATTTTATGTATTAAAAATAAGTAAAAAACAATAAAAAAGAAAAATATTTTGTAAATATAACAGACTGTAACTAGAACTAACAAGATATGATAGCCAACGTTTATCAAGGCTTAGTCTATGGAAAGTTTTTTTGTTTTTAAACCGTACCACCCATCCAATTAGGCAATGAACCATTGGCTTGTGGAAACCCACCTGGAAAACTAAGATTAAGTCGTTTGATAGCTCTTCCTTGTGCTCGAATAGCATAGAATAAAGCAGCATATTGCATAATTTTTTCTTCACCACGACTACAAAGTATTGAACGTTCGTATAGATTAGCTGCTTCTTCAAATTGATTTCTATTTTAAAAAAATTAAAATCGAATAAAATGGAGCAATTGGTTGACTTTTACCGATTGCATTTAAACATAGCAAACATGGTCAGAACAGTTTCATTGGACGGATCAAGTTCAAGTGCTTCTGTAAATAATTTGTCAGATTCATTGTTATTCGATGGATCAGCTGACATTAAGCAATTACTAAATCAGAAGATAGTTCAAATAAAAAAATTTATAGATAAAAAAATCATTTTTCTTACGCTTTAAGCGCTAACAATGTTGGACTATTTGGAATTTCTTTAACGAATCTATTCAAATACTCAAGTGCTTTATCTTTTCGATCATTGTCCAAATAGCACTAAAAGAAAACGTAGTTTAAATATAATCATAAGAATTTATTTACTGATGTCAATGCAAGTGCATAGTAAATGTCTTGTTTACATGTATCATAATATTCTTCAAAACTTGCCAATGCTTGTTCAACACGATTAGGTTTATTTTCTTTACTTCCAATTTTTGCATCATTAATTAATTTTTGATATTTAGCTCGGAGATTCGTTGGTTCTATATTCAATGCTTCGATAAAATCACTTTGTGCTTCAGAATAATTTTCTAGTAGTGTTTTCAGCTAAATATGCATTAGATAAAAAATTATTTTTAAATGAAAATGAAACAAACCATGCCACGATGAACATATGGTGCGCATGCATTTGAATGATTTTTAACACATTGATCATATGCATAAAGGGCTCCTTCAAGATCCCGTTGATGAATTTTTGTATTAGCTTGCTTTAATTCTGCATGTATTTTCATCTAAATTTTTTTCTTCAACATTGATTAAAACTTTCGAAAGAATAAAAATACAAACTTTTTCTGTAACATTTTGATCATTCACAACGGCATCAAAATCAGCAAGAGCTTCCTTGAAATTACCCATAAGTAAATAAAATGTACCACGAAATAGTAATGCTTCTAATTTATATGGTGATGTTACTGATAAGTTAAGTTCTTGCGTACATAATGATGGGATGTCAGTAAAACGACATTCACCATATGCTTGATATGCATTTGTAAGTGGACTATCTGGCTGAGATGTACGAACTTCATGAATAAATGTCGGCGACACTACTGGATCATCTTCGAATTCATTTAATGATGTACGAACATAATCTTTTGATAATTCTGCAGTACTCTTTCAGAGAAAATAAATATATAGATAGATTACAAATATATCACACTCTTTATTCTTACCGGAGGCAATTTTTCAGTATACTGTCTAGCAAGATCAGTAAGAACTTTATCAGCAGCCATAATATAAGTTTGCTGATATGAATCCAGACAGCATACAGTTGAATAATCTATATAAAATATTATTCGTAGATACCAATAATTCACACCAACAAACCTTCAAGAGCTAATTCCAAATTGTTCATTTGTTCAGCAGCACGAGCACGTCTTTGAATACATTTGAGATATTTTGGATTAAGTTCAATAGCTTTGGAACAATCTTCGATAACTTTCTCGAAATTTTTCTATATCAGATACATATATTTGAATAGAAAAAATAGAAATAGACTTTTTTTTAATATACAAGTGATTCCCAAGCTGCAGCTCGATTTTGATAAAATTGTGAAAGCTCTTCAGTTGATTCCGATGGACAAGTTTCTATTGCTTCTGAAAAAAATGATGTAAAAGTTATACAAATAAAATAATTAAAATTTTCGAAAATAAATCATTTGTTTACTTGTATATGCTTCAATGGCTTCATTAAATTTCTTTTCGCGATATTTCACATTTCCTTGAGTTTTGAATTCAATGGCTAGTACTACACGATTCTAAAGAATTTTTGAAGTATTATTCGCAATATTTTATTAATAAGGATCGTAATCATACATTTGTTGGATTTGTAGATCTGGAAGCTGCATCACCACCAGCTTGACTTGAAGATGGCGTCATCGTTGTTGTTAAATCTGTCAATGGTGTCGATACAGAGGAACGTCTTGTTGTTGATTTTTTAGATTGTTGTCGATAGACTAAACAAGCACCAACACAAACAACTGTTGGAACTCCAAGAATAAGTGCCCATTTAACTAAGCGTTTGCCTAGATCACTTGTCGAACTAGATATATTGGTACTTGACGATGAAATTCCTGAGATTGCTCTTAACATTGATGCCATTGAATTTTGTTAATCGATATTTTCTATTGACTAATAAAAACGAATCGTCAGTAGAAAAAAACTACTTCGAACAAACAAAGGCGCTCAAAAACCAATACGCACCATATCCTTTTCATTAGATTGGTCTCCGAAGAAACCAATTGCATTGATAATTAGAATGATTGGTTGATTGGCTAGTGTTCAGCATTCATTCTTTTTTTTTGCTTTTAAAGCTATATGACTTAAATATCAAGTATTATTGTTTATGAGAAGGTCGATAGCAATCTTATGGCAAAACTAATTCATTGCTTGCGTGACGCCAGAGACAAATGTAAAGCAGAATAAGATCTAGCGATAGATCGATCGGCTAAAGAAAAAACAATGACACTCATGCACTTTCTATACTAATTTTGAATAAATAAAAATCGACCGAATAGAATTTCAACTGTTCAATTCCTTTCCATATGGATAGCACGGCCTATCGGTTTTTTGTGACTCTCTTGATATGGATCCATGATTGATTTAGCTCATCTCAATAGTCGAGAAGTGATAATATTAAAACAATAAAGGTCATAGCTTGTTCGTGCAATGGTTGAGCTCTTGTTAGTATTACAATAATATTTAAACAAGTATTTTCTAGTCTTAAATCAAGTTATATGAATTGAATAATGTTAATATACAGTAAGATACCAGATGGAGCTGGTTATCACTAAACATTTAGTTCATAGGAAAAGCTGACGAATAGTAGATCTCAATTCGCGTAGCAATATTTTTCCAACTGAAATCTTTTGATTTATCGAACTGTGCGCAATTGATATACACTTATATTAAATACAACTGTAGATAAACTGAATATTTATTATCATTTATGTTACAATCTTCTGATTTTGATCAAACTCACAAGAGATTTAACGAAAATAAAGGTAACAGCTAACAACGCTACTCAAGTCTTGTGAATGTTTAAAGAAACTTCTTGTAGTCACATGTACCACCGAATGGACACATCAAGTTAACCAAGAGAAATGACTGATCATCATAACATTTGTTAGTAATTAAACTATCTTTTCTTTAATGAAACTTGACATTAAATTGATGATGAATTCATAATGTTACTTTATTAGGTTTTACGATTAATTGAAGAAAAAATATTTACATGTTATACTCGTATTTTGAACGATTTTTAATCATATTATATCCCGAAATACGTACTATACAGATAAAGACAAAAGCGTTGATGTATAATAGAAATCTCATTTTTCTTTCATGATTGTGATGCAATGTCAGATACTAATATAGCAAAGAGATTAGAAATAGTAAAAAAAAAAGTTGCCCTTCAATAACAATGTCATCTGGCATTGTTTGTTATCATGCAGCTCAAGTTACTTTAACTGTTGATAGTAAATAAACGTAACGGTTTTTAAAGAAAATGATTGACAGGATATTGTTCTATGTAAATAAAATGATAATTCAGATTTGCTGGACATATTGTAAAAGCATATCTAGTGTTAGTTCGAATTTTTACAAATGTAACATGACGAGTCGAAAAAACAATTGATGAATATATTGCTAATCGTTTTAGTTCGTAACTCTATTGGTTCCGTTTCTATCGTATTTAATCTTTTATCAGTAACAACAATATGGATTACACATGGCGATAGCAGATCTTCTCTGTCAACAAGAAATAAAGCAAATCTGGTTTTGTAAGGAAAATAACCAATCAAATCTGTCAATTAGCTCGTATTAATCTTGACAAAAATCAGTTTTCAGGTGTTGCATTCCGAATTAAGGATGAAATTTCAGCGCGGTGTGAAGTGAAAAAAAAACAATTTTTTTTATCTGTTAAATAAGAAATAATACCCGTATGTTTTTGTTTTATCGGAACAGAATGTGGTTTTACACGTATAAAGCACAGATACACACGAATTAACAGTCAAAAATATATATTGGTAAAGAATACAAATGGATTAGATTAAAAATGTGAAGGTTTTAAAGCCACAGTTTTACTATGTGATACAAGAATATTGTCAATTATTTTTCATGCACACCAAATTCTAGATGAAATAACGAAATTCTCATTAATACAAAATAAAAAACACTAGGCACCTTGGTGCTTCATAAAATGGTCATCATAATCGAATCAACTCGTTGAATAGCGTATGGAGCTGGTAGCTGTATGGATGAAATAAGATGACATATTCCATCTATCAACTGTCACAATATGCGAAGTTGATATGGCAATTAAAGCTGCAACAAAATTTTTGCCAGGAAAAACAATTTATATTTTGCAGCTGACCAATATTAGGAGATAATTATCATTTTCTTATTATATATTTTTCGCAAGAAAGACCTTCAACAAAAATCGGCTGATTTCGAATTTTTAAAGATTAATCCTTTGTTTTTCACTTTCAATGCTATTTGTAGATAGGGGATTATATCATAAATATCCTACTGAAAGGATTATACGTGATAAAGACTAAAATTATAGATCTATTGTAATTCGGCTCATTTGAAAGAATCTAGTTTCTATTCTTATTCCCATACTTATGTAAGTACAACTAAAATTCAATGTTTCTTCAATAGTATATGAACTTATATTACGTGTGAAAACAATCTTTCAACATAAAGAATAGCATCAAAACAGTAGTTAAAGAATAAATTAGATCCGATTCTTTTTTTAAATAGTCAACTTTCTTACGCTTAATTATTCAATAAGTTCTTTTCGTACATTTATTAAATAAGATCATTTTTTTTCTTCGTATTACTTAATATTTTCAACTAACAAGCATATCCAGAAAAGAAGTAACTGGCCAAACAATAGATAGATCATTCGCAATGATTACATGTTCATCATTCGATTGTCATTTGTCTTTTTTCTTTCAAATGAGGCTCAAGAAAAAAAGAAGCTTCTATGTACTATTAACACTCATATTCTAATCTTCATCTTGCACAATTCACAATCTTACAAAAGTTTGATTGCTTTTCTTTTTGTTTAATCAACCTCTACATCATTAAAATCTATTTGCTTTGTTGGAAGTTACTTTTTCTATTTTATCATTGATCATGTTATTTCCATTCGATAACGGTAAGTTATTTGTTTTCTTGTACTTAAATCCGGATTTTGAAAACTACATAGTATAAAAACCACATGTATTTTTTCTATTGTTTCCACCAAAGTATGACATACGAACAATGTTTACTAGATATTTTACAAATAATAACAGTAATAAATTGCTAGCTACTGATAAAAACCACGCATTCATTTATTATCAATAGACTATGATTAATTTATATTTTTATGAAACATAGTATACTGCTATATGGGTATTAATAATAACCGATAATAGAACACGAATGGATGTCCATCTCGTTTGTCTTCTTTACTCGGATTTATACAGACTCCATTCGTTTTCTCGATATTTCCTCTTGTGACAAATTATCGTCGTAGAAGGCGTCAAGAACAATAAAAATAACAAACAACACCCGCCATTACACTAACTAATGTACCATAAGATAGTTGCCTTTCTAATTGTTTGCGCTTTCTTTATTTTTCCAAGCTTTTCGATTTTCTATTCACAAATAACTATCGTCATTTCCTATCTCTCTCTAGTTGTCTGTCTTTCTAAATCACAATTTCTTTTCCCGATCTATGCAAGTGAATCGATTTTTAGAAAATCTATACTGAAAATACGACGGTAAGCTTCTCATACGATGATTAAGTGTAATAATGACAACATATTCAAATTTACTCCTCCTTTTCTAAGTAGACAAAAATATCTAATACTTTAAATGTCAAACTAGACGTTGATAATTTTCAAAGGACACACGCATTCACATAGACATGCACATAAATGTATACATATCTATGCAAAGATGTAACGACTTGACGAATCTTCTTTTCGTTGCATTCAATTGTAAAGATACCTTAGAAAATGAGAGATTGCGTACTATACTTGACGATGAAATACTAATCGATTGAGGTCTGTATATAGTACAAAATTCGTCTTGTTTCTATGGCTGAATCTTCGAGGAAGAAATTCTTTAGCATTATTAAATTTCAAATATTTGATAAAAGTGAGTGATGAATGAAAAATGAGAATAGGTGTCAACAAAACGACATCATTTTCTTGCATATAGCAATACTGTCATCGATCAATCGTTCGTGTTTTGGTCAAATGTTTTTTTCTTTACTAGTAATTTATCAGTTCATAGACTTTTGTTTTAATTGAGTTAAAATATTTTTTTCACCATGTCAGAAAAGACAGCTAGTCAATTTCACTTTCATATAATCTCGAATATAATTCGATCGATCACTTCTTTTGGTCGCATATCTTTTCTTTTCAACTGCTTCGTGCATATCATCGAGAACGATATCATAATAGCCTTGATCTAACACAGCCATTATATCAGAGAGTGAGAATAAATACATACAACATGTAATCGAGAGAAATTCTACAGATCGTTAACATCAACTAATGCATTACATTGCTACGTCGTGTTGTGCATCAATTGAGTGAAGAAATACAATACAAGAAAAAGAGGGAGAAAACAGTAACTAACTCTTGTGCCTGTCCGCTGCCATTGTTTGAAATAATTACAACTATCAACATGTACTTTCGCAAATATCAAATGTTTTGACTTTTTTCTTCGCCTTTTATCACAAAATATCGTCGCGTGCAATACTTTTTTCGTCTAATTTAATATCGACTAGTTATTCAATAATATGAATAACGAGACTATAGTTGAACAGAATCATGAAAATCAAGACTCACCATTATCACTACCATCGCATCAACATGCATCTCATTTCGAACTTCTAACGAAAATTTATTATCCTGAAACATTATATCCCGATAGTTATTCATTCTTTGCAGATCGGGCCGATAGAAAATTATCGCAAGCAAAATTCTCATTGCCAATGGAGACAACCGTTCAATATCCAACTAAACCTGTCGATCCAACAGATCATCCGACAATAGTATCAATTGTGTCGAAACAGGGAACGCCTGAGATTGAAATTGCTGATCGACAAAAAAAACATTCAGTAAGTGATACTTGTTTATTTGAGTATTCATTTTATTGTGTTATTATATTGACTTAGTATCTTGTTTGCGCTTCTTCTTTCTCCTCTATGAAACAATACATATGCGCTATGAAAAAAATAAAAGAAAATATTGTTGTCGACATTAACTTGTTGATAGCACAGAAATGAATGCTACAACTTAATCATGCTGACATACATCTATTCTATTACATTTAGCTGTGCCAGCTGCGGTTAAAGGACAATGTGATATAAAAGAAAAAAATAAGGAGGTATTTATCACAAGTAATCATCCGTTTCAATAGAAACCTTATCGTAAATTTATATTCATTTGATTTTTGTCATAAAAGAAGAATATTATAAACGATACCACACAGTATTTATGATCCTGCTGTACTTTTTGTTATGATTTTAGTTTTCTTTACTTGAAAGTCTCATTTGAATTCAGCTAAATCCTAGCAACTACTTGACAACCTATAAATAGATTCATACATACGTTTTTTCTATTTTCGGTCATAAATAAAACTAGAAATCAATGTCAACAGTGGAACAAAGACCTATGAATAATAGACGCATAAAAGCAGTTACCACAAGTAAAAATAATAACGTCTAGAAATCCTTTCTTTTTGTTATTGGTTTTGCAAGCTGTCTTTTTTTTTCTTGATGATTCGATTTCAATATATGAGAGAAAAGAAAGAAAAATAAGATTAAATCTAACAAAAAATAAAAGCAATTCAACAAAAAATAAAGTAAAATAGGTAGATAGCAAAAGAGTGTCTCGCTGAAGCGCAACAACATGTATTCGGGGCACATGTTTGCATATATGTTGCTCGCACACTTTAAAAGATATTTTATTTTCTCGATACTCTTAATGCTGCCTACTCTACTCCACATACGAAACAATCACCCCCGATGATGAATAGCACGTCTTTTTTTTTCTTCCTTTTTTCTTTCTGTTGATTGTCCTTCGCGAATGGCGCATATTTACACATTTCCCTCCTGCATCATTCTTTGTAAGGTTGATTCTATTGCCTACTATATTCTCTCACTGTCAGTATCACACCAACGCGCATATTTCGTGATCGATCACAAAGGGTAATCGAGCTAGTAAGAGAAAGTTGTCGACGGTTCTTATGGTAGAGACATTATGACAATGACAGTTGTTGTTTGTGGTTTTCTTTTATTATTTTTGTTTTTGTTATTTTTGCTTACATAGTGAGAGATATGTGTGTATATGAAAATAGTTACGGTCAGCGACGCACATTAGTTTTTACTATTTTCTTTAATTAAAATGTTGCTCACATCTATAGATAACCATTATTAAGGCAGTTTTCCTCTTCGATACACCTCATTTGTATAGTGAAAAGCGAAAGGAAAAATGTCAGCAGAAGACCAACAAGCCATTGAATCAGTACAGGTGAGTCTTGTTCCTACTTTCTTTTCTTTCTATCTAGTTATATTGTAGTCCGTTGTAATATTATACATACGTATGTGTATATTGAATTTTATTTATCATATTTCTTTTTACAGGTTCCCATGCTTGATCGAGAACGTGGTGAATCCGAAGCTGATAAACATCGATTCGATGTTAAACGTTACATACCAACAGCGTTACGCGCTCAAGACAAAACTGTAAGGATTAATGTTTGCATTGTTCTTCGTTTCAAATAGCAAAGCCGATGTTTTTTAATTTAGCAACCACCTGGCGTCTTGTTAGACCCTCGATTTTATTCAATGAAAAAGACAGCCATGACTATTATGTGTCTATTGGTATGTGAAATAGAATACTTAATAATAATTTTGTCGATTTTCTAAGAAAGAAAACTTTAAAAATAATCATCATCCATCTAGTTTGTTTGCCATTCGTTGAATATGAATCAAATAAACTTTGTACATCTATATTATCGTAATAATTATAAAATAAAGTAGCATCGAGTATATTTTATAGAATTAATTAATTAATCACTTTCGTGTCATAATTATTAATTTGCAATTTGATAACAAACACAAGCGTCTTGTCGTTTGAAAAACAGACAAAATAATCCTTTATATCTTGAGTAATTTTCTTTTGCTGTAAATCACAACATGTTTTCTATATTTAACTCAGGCAGGCGACACTTAATCTCTGTTTTACTTACAAAAACTTGATTAGCGTAAAGTAAAGTAACATCATTTTAGTTTATTTAAACTTTTAAATTGAAGTTGAAAACATGCTGATGTGTAAGATCTCTATATGAAAATTGTTGTCTTCTAACATTACTTTACGTGCTAAAGATAAACATACTACACCTAGTTAAAATGCTACTTGAGAACTTCCATTAAGAAAAATTCAAAGTTCGCTATCTCGAATATAGTCGCATAATATTGCGGTATCAGGTTAAAAACCACAAATATAAGTAGATAATGCTTTTTGATACCTCCGATAAGAATATCTTCATATTGTGTATAGTCATACGTAATTCAATGAAATAATCTTAATCTTGCTAATTGATTAAAAAAATTTTTTTTTCTTGTATTCTTTCTATTTAGATTATTATCATGAGTAACAGTGTTCAACTAAAACATGTTCTTAAAGTTGGTAATGGGCATGCATTCTATGGTACTCAAGTCACCCTTGGCATTATTTCGGTTATCATGTGTGCTAGTATTGGTAAGTGTTCTCAGTCGAGAAAGTTTCTTTGTTTTTATTTTCGGAAGTAAAATTATGTTTTCCTCTATTCACCCTTTTCTGTCATCTTTTTGGTATCTGTGGTTTATCTTGCGTATTCGATAGTGTACTTCAGTTTTTTTTCTCTTCACTTTATTGTAAAAATAGTCGTCCTTACAATCTTACCTTCCCGGATTCTAGGGTTAGCTCAATTCTACTTGTTTCTATTCACACGGCTCGATTATGTGTCATCATCATCATCTTCCTTATTGGCAAAATTAACACGGAATGATCGAATCTGTCTATTGATTCCAGCTACTTTAACTATTCTTTTATTCGTATTTAATATGATATTTTTAATTATAATGTTTAAATTTTAATTGTACTCGTGAATTTTTTTTTCTAATGCATTTTATCAGTTTATAACTTTTTTGTTATGTAAAAAATTAGAATTGAAACTGTATTTATTAATCTATTGTATGTTTTATTGTTTGAGTTTTGATTAATTTTTTTCTTCCTTATGTTCTAGGTGTGATTCTGATGTATGTGATGCGCATCGATTTGAATGATCTGTACAAACAGCATAAACTCGATTATATCGACAATATTGTCTTTTGTCTACTATTCATTCTTGCCATATTTAACATTTTTATTGCTGCTTGCAGTTAATCTCATCGCGTTGCCCTATGTTTTTTTTGTCTTTGCGTTATCGTTCATTTTCGTGTTGTTTTGCTATCTGTATTCGTGAACAGTCTTTTATAGAATTTTAGAATGCTTCGGTCTATTATTTTCTCTTTTTTTTATGCACGCAAACTTACAAATGAGTTCTCCTTTTCAATGGTTTATGTTTAGATTTGATATAAACAATTTAATGAAAAAAAAAAAAAACAATTATCATATTGAATGAGTGTTATATGCTTGTTTGTTTTATTCTTGCAGGTTTCTATCTCATGTATATGTTAACCATCAACGATCAAAATATATACAAACAACGTAAAATTGATTTTTTACAAAATCTTGGCTTAATTTTTCTTTTTTCATTATTTGTTCTTAACATTATCTATACAATTTTTCATGCTATTTAATGAGATCTGAAATTTACGCACTTGTTTTTACTTAAGAACAGATGTATGCAAATCTGAATGCTGTATGTGCGAGTTAGTTTTAAAAAACAATTTATTTGTGGTCACTTTTTTCTGTATGAGAAAATTCATAGTTTTCACCGGTTAATTTCTATTATGTAGTCATATATCCATTCGTGTCTGTTGTGAACTGTGTGCTTGTAGTTTACCTTTAAATATACTAATAATGAAAGGAGGTTATATTTAAGTAGTTTCTTTTTTTTTATAAATGCAGCCAATAATTCTCTAATGTTCTTTTTCTTCCGCATTAATTATTTAAAGTTATTTATTTCGATGGAAAATCAATAATATCAGTAGTGTGATTTTTGTAGAATTCTCAGTTATTCTCTAATAAATTATGATGTCGTTCAATAGAAAAAAAAACATTCAAAGCGAATATTGTTCAAAACGATCGACATATCAATATTATTAGTCAATGGTTTTGACTCGATACGGTTGAAATATTTTTTATCTGATGCATCGAATTGACTTTTATTACTACAAGGTCGCAAGGGCGAAATCTTCTTGTTGCTTCACACAAAATTGATAATTATTAGCTAAGATAACCGTCAAGTATTTTCGATATGCAATGTTTTTTCTGTGCTTATCTACAGTTATACACAATAAACACAGAGCAAGTGGTTTCTCTCTCTCTCTCTCTCTCTCTCAATTTCATGATAGCACTCAACCAAATGCAAAAATTATTAGAGCAACTCGATTTAGAATTCTCGAAGAAAAAATGCTATTATGGCGTTATTCGATCTTGTATAGTATAAAAATATGTTTTGCTAATTTTAACCTATACACTCTTGATGTTCGAGTGTATATGCAATCAATCTAGGCTAGCATAAAAAAATATATATATATTGACAAAGGCATCTGATACTAAACATTAAAAATCAGCTTGCAATTTCAAATGAAACTCTAATCACTTTCTCATAACACATTCTAACGGCATGATTCCTCACGTTTGACATCTCTAGCTAAATCTTACGAGTTCAACGGCTTGAACAATTAAAATAAATATAAAACATTTCATACTGATTTAACAGAAAAATTGCTCCCCGCTTATTACGAGATGTCTAAATATTTAGTTTTATGTTCTTCATGATAAAACTAACATGTTCGACTCGGCAAATTTCAGTCTCAGTGTTTGGTCTAGAAATGTTTTCGTTGACTTTCTATTTGATTACGAGTTTTTTTCTCGGTACATTCTACACTCATTTTAGTGACTCTGTAACTATTGAGTTATCGTTAAAATCGAACGAAATAGCTTCTGCTAGTCTCTTGGAGTCCAATCAAACGTTTACCTATTGCTCATCGTAATATAAAAATGTTGTGGTAAGAAAAATATATGAACACTAGTTAGATTTCATAGGAGAAATTAATCGAATTCATTGATCTTTTTATTCGCACTACTCAATTCTCGGTATGTTCATCGTGTAATTTCAAACATTAAATTGTTTAGAAATTGCAATGCTTTGTGTTTTATAAATCTTATTTCTTATGAATTAAAATTTCATCATATCTTCGAAGAAAAGTAAAGAAGAACTAAAGTTTACTAGAGAATAGAACGTAAGATGCTTTGACAAAAAGTCACCACTTGAATAAGATTTCAATTGAAAACATTATAGGTAAAATGCTATGACTACTATTTATTGTGTTGCCTCCTCTAATCCACATCGAATACTTATTAGAAAAAAAAGCACGAATCTCTAGGCATGCATTACCTTGAAAACATTATTTACCTTAGAAGTTGTAGGAAAAAAAAATGAGAAAACATCATCCGATTCACTATGTTTACACAACCTGCTAAAAAAAAAGCCTCACTAAATCATAGAATGAGTTTAGCAAAAAAACAGAAAAAATCAATAGTTGAAAGGAAGATTAGTTGCAGCTGTCTCTTAGCAACATTTACTTCTCATTACGGTATTGCGCAGGTATTTTTCTGTTTTTTTCGTTGTTAAAGTCAAAGTGTTGGAGAAGATTTGCGTTACTCATTGCTCATTATTTCTATTTTGTTCAGTAGCTAAATGAGATGGAATATAATTGTATGTAGTAAAATAATTAGATATTCAAAGTTTCATCTTTCCACCAATGGAAACAAATTAATGTTTTGAACTAATCGTACGGGTGCCGTGAAATAAAAGAGAAAAATAAAAGGACAGAACACCATGGGAACCGATTGAGTCAATGTAAATCATTATATATGATTTTCCTTTCCAGTAGGCTGCATCTTAAATAAAACACAAATCTTCCAGTGTCCACTATGAGTACGCTAATTACAGAACATTGTACTGTACTTGAACAACTGAAAGAAAACTACGAATTTTATCAAAATCGAGATGATATTTTACATGATTTTTATACGGAATTGACTCGTCTTCAATCATCGGATGCAATTACTTTTCGGCAAGAAATAAATAAAGTTACAGCGATATTATGCACGAATATTCTGAATCTTAATGAATTGATTCTACAATATTTTCTCGATTATTTTATTCAATTATTAAAGAAATGGTCTGAATTGACGTATTTCGATGATTCAAATGAAGTAGAAACATTCGACAGTATATCGATCATTTTTCAACGTCACACTCACCGTTGTTCGAATGAATTATTAGTTAAAGAAATCTCTCAATGTTTACTAACAATTGCACGTATCGGAAAGAGCATGATTACCTGTCAAAGCATTACAGCTATTACTCGAGTACTCAAGGTTTGTACTGGTATATGGAATAGTAGTGGACATGCTTTTATGCCAGTGACACCATTAGACGATAGTGCCATAAAATGTCTTTGTGCACCGTATACTATTGAAGTTTTTGCTCAATTTAATCTATCGGTTAAATCTGGCGAACGTACACCAGCAGAGGATTTTGTATTGAATGGATTGCACTATCATGTTTCATGGATGAATAGAGACGCAACTCAAGAGAGAGCTAATGAATTACGCGAACATTTACTTCCATCAATAAGTGATTTACTGGATACGTATACAACATCGTACGAAGAATGGTCACAATCATCTATTAATATTATTACAACATTGACAACATCATTTCTCTATTCTGTACAGCTGACTATAGTAAATGATATACATATCGATGTACAACAGCATATTTGTGATAGTGCTATTCGTATTCTTTTTCATACAGAAACTCCATCGATGAAATTAAAGAATAATTGTCTTCAATATGTTTATATGGGTACATCCAATGATAAAATATTAGATCATTTAAAAAGTCAACAACTAACAGCAACTATGTTTAAAATATTAAATATGTACAAGAATGAAGCAGAAATTCAATTTAATGTTTATAGAATATTAGCTGCGATCATGACAGAAGAAGATATTAAACGACTTGATGATCCAGGAGCTATAGCTAAAGTATTTCTGGATCATTTAACAGAAATAAAAGATCTTTTAGGATGGGAAACAAGAATAAAAAACCTGTTGACCAGTTTAAAAAGTAAATATTTCAATTCAATATATATTTAATTATTTATTTTATAATTTAGTTTTATTACAACACGATCAAATTCGAGATGAAATATATGAACAAGATGGTTTACCACTTTTTATTTATTGTGCAACTCTACCTAGATATGATAAAATTATTCATCAACGAGCACTTGAAAATCTTTTAATAATGTCATTTCACGAAAAAGTTAATAAAAATTTAAAAGAAGATACTGATCTCATGGCACAAGTTAAATCGATGTCAGAAGATTCAACAGAACCAGATGTGCAACGAGCAGCGGAAGGCTTATTATGGATGTTGACAAAAGATGAGACGTCAAAAGATTCCGTCGATGATAAATCATCAGAACATACCTATGATATAATGATTAGTTATTCACATAAAGATAAAGATTTATGTTTTCGACTTTATGATCGTTTACAAAAAGATAAATTTCGTGTATGGTTAGATCGTGATCAAATGCACGGAACACCACTTGAAGCTATGTCGAATGCAATTGAAAAATCAGAATTTGTATTCGTTTGTATGTCCGATTCATACAAACAAAGTGGATACTGTAAAATGGAAGCATACTATGCATTAGAACGACAATGCTGTATTATTCCATTGATTATGAAAGCACAATATAGACCCGATGGATGGCTTGGAATAATTGTGACAGGAAGAATGCGTATTGATTTACCGAAATATGGCTTTGAAGATGCTTATGATAAACTAATGGTTGAAATTGATCGAAATCGAAAAGAGAAAGCCAAAAGCACTATTATGCCTTATCATGATTCACCATCGGCCTTGAAACTAGCACATGATTTGCCATCGATGTTTAAACCCTCACATGAAACTCCTGTTCAAGCAGATAAGAAAAGACCAAAAGTCACTTATGAAGCAAAACAGTGAGATTAAGACACAGAAAAACTTATAGGAATGTTTAAATTTTTAGAGATCATCATTTACCCTTGAACATTGAAGAATGGAACAAGGATGATGTACATCAATTTTTTATTAAACAAAACCTTACATGCTTTTTACCTATATGTGAAAGAATGAATGGCGCACTTCTTCTACAATTGTATCAGATGTGTGCGACAAATTCACCGGTGATGTTTCAATCACTCAATAATCAACTCGCTATCGTGGAAAGTGATTCGAAACCGTCTACGATTCAAACTATGGAATATTTACAATTTTTAAATGATCTTAAAATTTTTGTGCCGATTACCATTGAGAAAACAGAAACTCCAGGCGGTCGATCTGCTTTTTGTGTCATATTGTGAAATCGTCTATTTTACTCGTCGTTGAAATAGATTTATCTTTCAATAAATCATTGATTATTGTGACTTGATAATATGGAATAACAATCATACATAATAAAACAGTCGACCATGTTTTTACTTTGAAACATAATGCTATTAAAATGAAAAAGAAACTTAAAACTGATAACTGGAGACAGAATATTGTGTTCATTTCATCTACATGCAATGAGAATATCAATAATAGAGTAGAAATAATATTTGATTCAAGTAATAATGTGTGAAACGCACTACTTATCGTCAAAGTAGTTTATTATACTTTTGCAAATACGTATACTTAACGGTACACTAAAAGTGTAGTAAAAAAGAAAAGGATGAGATCTTAACCAAGAAATAGAGCACTTCACTCACAGAGATGTTATCTAAGATGAGTATCAAGTTTTGAATAAAATTTTTTTATTATCAAATCAAAATAGGGATACACTTTCAAGCATATCGTTAAGACCGGTGAAAGCCGGTAAACTGCTGAAGAACCTACGGTGGTGGCCAGTTTTTTTTATGTTATTCATGCAGCGCTCTATTAAGGCAACCCAGCAATGCTAATATACCGGCTTTCATCGGGGGTTTCTCGTATTCTTACCGGTTTCATCATTTTCTCGCCGTTGCATCCCTAAATCAAAACCAATCGAACAACTCACGATAAACACGTTGATTTGCGGAATTTCATTAAAAACTACTACGTACATAAATCATGGAATGATTTTTATACAACTTATAATCCGATCACTATCATTGTTTTAAAGATATCACGAACGTACTTTTCTACATTATGAACATTATCATTTTTCGTTTGATATCAATGAAAATAGTATATACGTATATATATATATATATGTTAGCGTCCAAACTGAGATTACGTCCAATCTCAGATTGGTCTAGGTGAATCTCGAATCCGAGATTGGGCGTGTCCAATGTCGGATTGAGCGGAAATTTAACATTACAACGTGAATTACTCTGTACATCGATATAGGAGTCGATTTTCTACTTATGGACTTCGATGAAGTACTATCATATCAGGTAACGTAGTCATCAATAAACGAATAAATTAAAGACTTGAGGAGTAGAGTCCTGCAGGTTAAGACTTTTTTGTACCCTAACCCTGCCCTATAGTAAAACTTCGTACCCTTGTCCTACCCTGCCCTACGACGTTCTTACCCTAGCCCTACCCTGCCCTATAGCTTCGTAACCTTGCCCTACCCTGCCCTACGGGCTCTGTACCCTTACCCTACCCTATCACAGAGATTTTTCATTTTACACCCTATCATATCATTTG